ACGGTGTACTAACTGGTTTAGCCGTCTTCATGTTGAATCTGTCCAGAATCCGATTTATATATCGTTCCTGCGATAACCACAACCTCTTGGATTTTCGGTCTCGCATGATCTGCATGCCCAAAATCTATTTTGCAGGGCCCAGATCTTTCATATCAAAAAACTTTGACAATTCCTTCTTCAAATCACCAATCAGCTTCGCATCTTGTTCCACTATCAACATATCATCTACATACAACAGAAGAATAATGAATTTATCACCTGGAAATGTCTTGACAAATACACAATGATCTGCATCAGTCTTGGCATATCGATGACTCGCCATGAACGAGTCAAATTTCTTATACCACTGTCTTGGAGCTTGTTTCAATCCATACAAGCTCTTCTTCAATCTGCAAATCATATACTCCTTTACAGTCTCCTCAAAACCTTCTGGTTGCTCCATGTAGATTTCTTCATCAAGGTCTCCATGAAGAAACGCAGTCTTTACATCTAGTTGTTCAAGCTCCAGATCCAAGCTAGCCACCAATCCGAGTATAACTCGAATAGAGCTCATCTTCACAACTGGAGAGAAGATTTCATCAAAATCTATTCCTCGCTTTTGTCCAAAACCTTTTACGACTAAGCGAGCCTTGTACTTCAACAACTTGTCACCATCTTTCTTAAGCTTGAACACCCATTTATTTTTCAAGGCTTTTCTGCCTTTAGGGAGCTTGACCAACTCATAAGTATCATTCTTCACCAGGGAATCCATTTCTTCTTGCATGACTTTCATCCACTGGGATTTATCCTTATGAGTCTGAACTTCTTCAAAGTTTTCTGGCTCCCCTCTTCAGTGATGGTAATATACATCGAACTAGGGTACTTTGTAGATGGCTGGTGTGGTCTACTTGATTTCCGATACTGAGGTGGAGCTTTTGGGTTTTCTTGCTCAACACCTTCATCATCACCATCTTCTATTGCTGGCTCATTATCAACCCTAAGTTCTCCATCACACTCTCCCCCTACTGTGGCATTTTTAGGAGGAACAATTGGTGTGAGATCAACCTTACCACCTGGTTCTCTGATTTTTGGTCAAGCAGAATTCGACATAGTTTCTTGCTCATAGAACACTACATCTCTGCTTCTAATAACTTTCTTATTTTTTGGATCCCATAACCTGTAGCCAAATTCCTCATCTTCGTAGCCTAGAAATATGCAAGGATTGGCTCTATCATCAAGTTTTTGTCTTTGTTCCTTACTCACATGAGCAAAAGCTTTGCATCTAAACACTTTCAAATGAGAGTATTTAACATCATGTCCGGACCATACTCTCTCAGGGATATCAAAGCCCAAAGGAACAGATGGAGATCGGTTAATCAGGTAGCTTGCCGTTAGAACAGCTTCACCCCAGAATGGCTTAGGCAGTTTTGCCATTCTTAACATGCATCTTACTTTCTCCATAATGGTTCTGTTGATTCATTCGGCCACACCATTATGTTGTGGGGTTCCAGGTACCGTCTTCTCATGCTTGATGCCATGCTCAACACAATAATTCTTGAATTTATGGGAAGTATATTCACCCCCATTATCCGTGCGAAGACACTTCAAAGGTTTACCAGCCTGTCTCTCCACCATTGCATGAAACCTTTTGAAGCATTGAAAAACCTGGTCCTTCGTTCTTAAGAAGTACACCCACAATTTTCGTGAAGCATCATCAATAAACGTTACATAATATCTGCTACCACCAAGACTCTCCACTTCCATGGGTCCACATACATCAGAATGAACCATCTCCAAAATATTTTCTTTCAGCTTCGACGTTTTGCTGAAAGACACTCTATGATGCTTGCCAAACAAACAGTGATCACAAGGATTCAGCTTTTTATTTTTGGCAAACGGGATAAGGGACTTTCTTGCCAAAATCTGCAATCCTTTTTCACTTATATGAGCCAATCTTTTGTGCCACAAATTTGGCGAAGCATCATCCTCGACTGCATTCAATCCGCCCTTGATCAGCTTTACTTGAGTTTTATACAATGTTGAATTTACTGTGCCTCTAGCAACCAACAATGATCCTTTGGTAAGCCTCCACTTGCCGTTACCAAAATGGCTGTCGTAATCAGCTAGATCCAAAGCACGCACAGAGATCAAATTCAGACGTAGATCTGGCACATGACGCACATCTTTTAGTGTTATTGTGCATCCTGTATTGGTTTGAATGCACACATCACCAATTCCTACAATATCTGCAATACTACTATTGCCCATCTTTACTTTACCAAAGTCTCCTGCTTTGTACACAGTAAAGAATTCCTTGTGAGAAGTTGCATGATAAGATGCTGCTGAGTCAATGACCCATTCATCACATGAGTCTGTAACTTGACACTCTTCTTCTTCTTCAACAGAGAGTACTACCACATCCCCAGTTGTCACAGGGGATGCAGTATTTTCATCGTCATCCGATCTAGAGTTTCGTCGGTCTTTCGTCTCTCTGTTCTTCCAAGCTTTACAGTTTCTTTTGATGTGCCCTTCTTCACTGCAGTGGTAACACTTAAATTTTCTTCTGGGCTGAGACTGTGACTTATCTCTGGATTTGTTACTTCGTCCTCTGCTCTTACTTCTCCCCCTGTTCTCTGTGACAAGGGCATGGAAACTGCTTGTCCCAGAGTCTTTTCTCCTTGTTTCTTCATTAAACATGCTGTCTTTGACTTGAGACAAAGTAAGTTTTCCTTCAGGAGCAGAGTTGCTTAATGACACCACCAGAGTCTCCCAGCTATCTGGTAAAGAACTCAAAAGTAACAGCGCCTGCAATTCTTCATCAAGTTTTATCTCCATGGTAACTAGTTGGTTTACCATGTGTTGAAAATCATTCAAGTGTTCTGCAACTGATCTTCCATCCTGATATTTTAAATTCACCAGCTTCCGAATAACGAAAGCTTTGTTCTGTGCAGTCTTCCTCTGATACATTTGTTCAATTTTGTTCCACAGAGTCTGGGCATTTGTCTCTGTGGCAACATGGTGGAATATGCTGATATCCACCCACTGCCTAATTAAATTAACGGCCTTTCGGTGTGTCTTTTTCCAATCCTCATCCTTCACGTCTTTTGGCTTTTGATCTCCCTTTTCCACAGGATCATACAAGTCCTTGTAGAAAAGTATGTCCTCCATTTTTAGCTTCCAAATGGAGTAGTTTGTTGCTGTCAGCTTCACCATGGTACCTACGTTCTCCTCCATTGAATTTACACTCGGTGATACAGAACCCAACCAGGCTATGATACCACTTGTTGGGCTCAAATGCAGAAAAACTTGGACGTGTAAATTAAAATTCTGACGTAAACTGGCGAGCAATAATTCAAATCTAATAAATAGATCTAGCAACGCAGCGGTGTAACTTATAAAGTGTGCATTGGAATACTTCCCAGGAAAGAGAGGTGGATCACAACAGATCACTTAAATACCAAGTCTTTCCTTAGCCAGAACCTTTCCAGTTACAACACTAATACAAAAAACACACTTCTCCAGCAATCCAACAATCAGCCACGGAAAGATAACAAAAATAATTCTTTTCTGATGTGGAAGATCAGACTAAACTGCAACCACAGAGCATACTAAGAATTATTCTAACTGAATAAAATAGGCAGATAAAGAACACAAATATTTAACGTGGAAAAACCTCCAATGTGGAAGAAAAAACCACGGGACAAACTCCGAAAAATATTCTACTATATCTCGGGATATTTACAATATCTTTTCAACACTTTATCACACAAGAGATGTAAAATATAGTGTACCCAGTGAGACCCACTCCTATTCAAATATTACAAATTTTGTAATACCAAAAAGAAATAGAGATGATACCCACCCCAGTGTATTTTTCTCACACTCTTAGGATTTACCCAACACTCTATTTTTCTCTCACTAGAATTCTATCAATGCTTGATAAACATTCTTGTGATGCACACACTCAATTTCATTCCTCACAGCTATTTATAGCCAAATGAAATTACTATTCACTTATTAAAATATTATTTATTTGTTTAGAGAGTAAAAAAAAACAGCACCGAACACCGAAATGTGCTGGACATCACATCTTGTAGGGCCAGGATTCCCTGTCGTTAGTGTGTAGCTGGCGCAAAAAATTGCAGGAGATCCTGATCTTAATTTGTAACTCTCAGTATCAGACAACAACCTAACCAACATATTCTCCATTTTCTAATAGTAGAGTGATGTAGCACTTCTTTGTCATGGAAGTTCCATTCATTACTTCTCTATTTTAACATGCAAACTACCTTAAGTGTATGCAAAAATGAGCCTAATATAAAAATCCATTATATTTAACACAAATTCAAATAAAACTCTAAATTCATTTGTAACATTTATGTGGCACGTGAAATTAGTCCTTATTGTATCAATTAATCCATCAAGGATATCTCAGCATCATTAATGGACAACGTAAGCAGTCACGTAATAGACGGATTGTAATGATAGGGATAGCTTGAAAGACAATGTCATTGGGTCCAAATCTGTCATTGTTTCTTTACTGTGAACACTTTAGTTGGAATTATACGCATTTTGAGAAGCCAAACATGATTTGATTATTGTCATAATACATTGCAGACAAGCAGAAGCTAGCCTCAGCCACTTTGAATGGCTTAAAGGGAAACAAGTATACATGCTTTATTTCCTGTACTTCATCAAGCTTCATCACCTTAATTCGATTGCAAATAACAGAACCTAAAGAGCAGTTGCATCTAAAAGTTTTTCCTATAATGTGGTAAGACTTGAAACTTTTCTATTAAGGGCCTTTGGAACTGAGGAAACAAGGATATTGACAATGAGCATTACATTGACATGGCTTTGAAAGCGAACTAGGAGAGTTTGTAATACATAAATGATCATTAAGTGCAAGGAGCCTCTCAAGTCCTTAGAAAAAGGCATAAAGCCAATGCTATAACCAAAGTAGTTTCCTTTGTTACTTTTGATAACCCCATTTGCATATATGAGATTGAAGGATTTGTGTTTTAGATACGCAGAGGGATTGGTCTTGGAGAATTATCAGAGTAATCCATATCAGATACCCCATTTGGTTCATCTTGACGCCACTTCTTCAGTTCACCTTCAACTGCAATCTTTGCAGAATCTGCCATCTCTGCATTCCTCAGAGCCATATCTGTTGCAGCCTTTATTTCTTCAATTGCTTTCAGATTTGCTTCCACCTTTCTATCTATTTCATTTGTTCTGGTGTTGATTGCTTCCACCTGAGCCATTGCAGCTGCTTCCGTTCTCTCAATCAGGTCTTCAGATTCCTTTATTTTTCCACTCAGAGCTGCAAACTCATCAACTGTCAAAACAATCTTCCCATTGGAATCTGTAACTGACACTGTACCTTGAGAATCAGACAACAGTTTCATCTCCTCAATGGCTTTTTGTTCTGCTACTTTTGCTTCGTCAGCTTGTTTCAGCATGAACTCTAGCTTCTTCTCTAGTTCTTCTGCCACAGCTTTGGATTTTTCAGCTTCTTGATTCAGCTCCTGAGATTTTGTACTCATTTCTTCCTCTTCCTTTCTTACATTTTCTGCCTCAAATGAAAGCTGCTTGATTTTCAACTTTATCTCTTCACAGTCATCAGATTGTTTTTCCTCCATAGAAGTTGTCTCTTCTTTGGTGTTTTGTAGTTGATCAGTTAGATCAGCAGCAAGAGCTTCTGCTGCTTGCTCCTTCTCCTTTATTTTTTCTTGCTCCATCTTCACTTGTGCTAATTCAGTTGTGAGGGATTCCACTAGGTTTTTGAGGGAGTTTTCTTCATCAGCAAGCTCCTGCAGTGTTTTTGTGGCTTCTTTAATCTCTAAAGTTATTAGTCTCACAGAATCCATCTCAGAGTCATGTGCTTGTTTCATCTGCTCTTGAATATCCTGAATCTCTGCATTTGTTTCAGCAATTTGGGCCTCTAGAGTTCGGGTTAATTCAGGGTCATATTCATTCTTTAAATTCATAAATTTTATCTGTACTTCTTCCGCAGCAGTTTTGTAATAATTTAGTTGTGCTTCTCTCTCTCCCATGACCTTTATCTGCTCTTCTTGGGCTTGTGTAGATGCAAGCTTCAGTTGTTCAATTTGTTCTTTCATGGTTGCAATTTCCTTTGACAGTTCATTGACCTTTTCGGAGTTCAATTTTGCGGAACGTTGAGCTTCTCCAGCTGTTTGGAATGCAGCTAACTTTGCCTCCAAAGCTGAATCAAAATCCTGCCTGATTTTGTTGAGTTCTTGCTTGGAAGCATCTAGTTCCTTTACTGTTGTTGTGTACTCCCTTCTTGCATGCTCTAGTTCTTGTTTCCAAGCTTCATATCCTATAGCTTTTTGGGACAGTGCCTGTTCAAGTTCTTTGGCCTGATTCTTCACAGCTTCAGCCGCTTCCATTGCTGATTGCTTAGATTCTCTCACACTGTTGAGCTTCTTTGTCAATTCCTGAAGTGTCACATTGGCCTTATCAAGCTCGGAAAGTGCTTTTGATTTCGTGTTATCAGCACTATCAAGCTGTTTCTTTATCTTGTGTAGTTCTCTTTGGGCCAAGAGAAGCTGAGTCTCCTTTTCCAGCACATTCTGCAAACCACACAAGTTACTAATTCTGAAACATAACATCACAAAATAAGATGCATCATTAATAATGAAAGATGAACATGCAAATAAAGAACTTTCGTGCAAACTTGAAAATCTCCTCCAGTTGTGTGTACCTTACAAAGACAAAGAGCTATTGTATTTGTATGTGTCTAATTGACCAGCATCAAGAGGAAAAGCTTCCAAGAATAAAAATGGAATTTTCCTAGTCCAAGTCCTGAATCCTAATTTTTAAAGAAAAATTATATTTGTTATTTACCTCTGATGATCTTCTCTTGATAGAACGTTTTTCCTTTGAGACTGCTACTTCACCAAATAAACTAACAGCAGCTTTAACAGATTGGAATGGAGCCCTTGTGTCAATTTCTCCAACCTCTCCCTTTGGAGAACACAATTCCTTTGGCTGCTCTCTAATTCTGAAACTCATTATATATTATTTTCTTCTTTCTTGCAAACAGTATCTGCAAGATGATACATAACAATGAGCATTGTGAAGATAAATCGTATTATATGAAACTATGGAACAACATATTGTATATGCTTTCAAATTTTACCATCTTTGATAAATATCATTGCACCACATTTTACATAGGATATATTAGATATCAAAAGCTTAACTTAAAAAGGGCTGAACTTATTCTAACCTTAATGCTTGGTGTTACAAGAAAAGCCCTGAAATGCAATATCTATACACGTAAATGAAACAAATATGGACCCTGAAGACTCCTCCTTTCACTTGACCAGGTAGAGCCCAGATGATGAATCTGCAAAGGTATTGAAAAAAGAACCAAGATGAAAACGTGGGTTCCTTTCAGTCCAACTTTTATTTACCTATTTGAGACCGTTGAAAGGAACATCCTATAATTTGGTTGGTTAAATTTGCTTGCATGTAGAATTGGGTAGGAGCTATTATTAGCTTAAGGGGCAGAGAGTTTTGTGGTGGTGTTGATAGTAAAAGACAAACATACAGGGTTGTCAAATACAAAAATGACCTTTCCTTTCTCTAATTGAGAAAAGCATTGGGGTATATGCGGAAAATAAGGAAGATTCAACCAAGCCATGATGAATATTCCATTGTAAATATAACTTGGAAACATCACATTAACAGTTTTACCAAAGGGTCAACATGGTGATTCAGTCCCTAACGTTTTGAAGTTGGCTAATGGCTGGCTATATCCTTATGTGGTAGGATGATACATCATAATGGAAAGGTTGCAACTCATCCCCTTTTAGGATTCTGAAAATGGGATGTCTCCAAGATTTGAGTAAACCATATAGATCTAGACCCATTATTAATATAAGTAAAACAAAATCGACATTGGTTTGATCATTTGATTGTAACAACTACTCATTTAATGCTATAAGTGTATAACTACCAAAGTTAAAGAGGTTTTTATCTAACGTATCATTTAGGCACAACAGCTAGGAAAGAGAGATTTCAAGCACTAAGATGAGATTGTGCTTTCGAAGTTGCAATGAGATGTATTTGTTTTTTTATTTTTAGAGGAAATGCGTCTCCATGTCGTTGTTTATAGTTAAGATGTGTGTATTACGTTACTTGTAGTTTAATGTATGGAGATTGTCAAAACGTTTTGAGAAAGCTCCTACAAGTGTTGATTCGATGCTTCTTAGAAAAAGAGTGTTATTATCAACCTTTTATAAATAGTCTTAGATGAGTCCACATTATTAGGAACTTATGAAAATAATATCTATGTAAATATTATTACACTTCTAGAAAAGGGTCTACCCAATGTAGCTAGTAATTTTTAAGAAGAAAAATTATCTTTGGCAATAATATGGATAAAATTGTACATTTAAGAAAATTTTGTTTAAATAAAAAATGGTATTAATTATTAAAACTTTTTTGCTATTTTTCTAAAACCTTTTTACCGATCATTGCCGTAATTTGTTAGAGTCAAACTCTCAAATCTTTTAATGAAAAAAATTAAATAATAAAAAAATTATTATAAATTCGTGTACATATTTTATTTTTTATTTTTTTCAGTTATCTTTTACCGGAAGTACAGTTACATTTACTCAAACTCAAAATTATCTAGTTTAAGTTGAAACAATTTTATATTAATTGATCTGCCTGTTCGGTATTTTGGTGCTTGTTTGTTTAGTAATTTTAAATCAATTTGCTTGAATTCTAATTCAACAAAAACACAATTGGACAACTCTGATTATTTCTTGCTACTTGAAAACTCCATTTTCAACTTAACAAACGGCAAAACAATGAGGCTCTTGTCTTTTTTCAGATTGAAGAAATTGATTTTATAATATGTACTAGATTTATCAAGAAAAAATTATTTATATTAAATATTCTTACATGAACCCACACACGCTTTTTTAACGATTTTTAATAAAAAAAAATTACTATTTTTATTTTCTATTCTGTATAATAATTATATATAATAGAAGAATAGTTTTTTTTTTATTATTATTGAATGAGAGGAATTTTGACCATGAAGATGGGAGGGTTTGAAATCTTGTCATTTAACTGTATTGAGGTACATTGTAAGGACATAGACATATGCATCTTGTGTGTCAAATTGGTCACAATTATTTAGTAGAAGCTTTTAAAGGATAGACTTAAATTATGGAAGTAAGTGACACATGAACACTACATTACAGAGCCATCAGTTCCAATCACAGCAACCACTATATCAACAGTATTCATGTATCTTCTCATATCTCTCCGGCCCTGTAATTTCAAAGTAGATGTGTAATTTGTGCATTTAAATATCATGTAACCTAATTTTGTGTTGTAATTTTTATTTTTATTGATGCACTATATAATTCAAAATACTTGATAGGATGAATGTCTTATAGGAAATCCATGTGACCTAATCTTTGTATTACTCATTATCAAATTGTAAAAACATGTAAGTATTGGGTGTGTTGTAAAGAAAAATTTTAACTTTGTCAATTTGCACTTTTTAGTTTCTTTTCATGTATCAATCAAAACAATATTGATACCAAATATCAAAGAATTCTTCAATCAATACAAACAATTTTAGTAATTCACTTTTTAACATATATTTTTTTTAATATCCTTTACTATTAACTAAATTTATTAAAAATTACAAAAATTATATAAGTATTTTTTTTTACTCATAAATTAATGTTTCTTTTTTATACTTTTTTAGTTTTTAATAAATTTAGTAAATAGTAAAGAGCATATTAGAGATTGTGTTATTAACATTTCTTATCATATTAAAAGAAGTTTATGAAATAATGTCATTTTTATTAAATCACCTTTTATACATATTACTTCATCATCTTATTACTATCTATTGATAGTATTTGGATTAATGAACTAAAATTATATAGAAGTTAAGAACTAACATGATATTCTTAAAATTTAAGTAACTAAAATATCTAATGCATATTATTTTATAGATTAAAATGAGAGTTTAATAAAGATATTTTTTTAAAAGATATTAAATAAGAACATTATAGCATTTCATGGTATTCAAGAGTTTAAAAATAAATCTTACTTCATCTCAAAGAGCTCAACCACATGCATATGTGAATTGTAGATGGTTAAAGTGAGTTGGACCCTTTAACATGCATAATAGCCGATTGTAGTAAGTTACATCTTACTTCAGTCGAATACTAGGGAATCACTTCATGCGCTGTGGTTTTTATAGCACCTATAGTTGCTTGTAATAAGGTATCTTCTTCCAAAAGTAGTAATAAGAATACTTAGTTACATGTTTACTTCAAAAAAATACGTGATCAAGCTTTTAGAATTGAGACAAAAATGTGACCAAAGCATTTATAACCCAAAGCTGTCCCCGATACATGACCCCAGCAAATGTTAACCAGTGCCGGACATTGATTAAAAAATTTAAAACTTCTTTATTTAAAATTTAAAGATACTAGTCAACGAGATCCATTATGCTGTTACGCTAAATGCAAATCCTACGTTTGAATGAAAACACTTTCAATCTAGATCCGTCACACTTGCAATTTTAGTGCAGCGTAAAATATTGAATGAAAACATCAGAAGATTAAAAAGCAGAGTGTTTTTGATAATTATATAGAGCGTACTAAACGTTTTAAGTTCACTATAATCACAACTAACAACAGTATTTGTATCACATGAAACAATATTCTTTCAGAAAGGCAAGGCTAACTAAGAGTAACATTAGCATCTAATGAAAGACCTTTAAGTACACAAAATACTAAAATTATAATTTTCACATCAACTAGTCACAAAAGGCAGAAGTTTCAGCAAGAATACAAGAAACAGATTTGCAACAATGCATGAGCATATTCCAACAATCAAAAAACCCGCCTAAATGTAAGATTAATGCGCGTAGCTTCAGCTTTCGCGCGCTTGGGAACAGAGTGAATCCAATCTCGTTGTGTATAACCTCTCATCACCAAAAGGGATCCATGCCTAAGTCTAAAGGTATGCTGATCAGCATGGCTACCCTTCTTTAATCGCTTGCTTGCAGGCTCATCGCTTCCATCTGATTATACGTTCAAGAACAATGATATAAAGGTCCATTACTTTGCATCACACAAGGAGAAAATCAGAAAGACCCAATATAAATGCGGCGGTAAGTGGCAATTCCAATAACAGAAGTAATCATACCACAAGATCTTTTACATGGCTTCTTCTTCAAAATGAAGTCACGTTCACATCCAAAAGATAGAGATGCAATTTCAGGAGTTGGCCCGTAAAGCTTTTCATCATCAGAATGCCAACCAACATAGTCATTACCACCGTGGTACCTATTTAAGAGTAAGCTATTAAAACTACTCCCAGGGAGAGCTTTATGGACCTTCAGAAGTAAGTAGAAAGAAATATTAAGTACATCAACAAATATGAGCCAGAAAACCATTAGTCAAATATATATTATCATATTACAAACAGAATTAATGAGGAACAATGTTGATTAAAATTCATTCTTACAGCATCCAAGATGTCTTTAAGTGGTGGATAATCATCCCAAGAATAGGCATGAGGCTTATACCCACTGTATGTCAACTCAGTCAATCCTGGAGTTGCAACATAACATGTGTCTCGAGGCTGCAGTGAATTACATGACATTAGGAAATTTCGGTTTTGCTAGCCTATCTGCATGCAAGAGAGTAATCTCTAAGTTAAAATTCACCTAATCATTTGAAAATGTTGTGTCTATCAATCTCTTCACTCCTAAAGTGACAAAAACGTGTAAATTTTAAGGATTCATTGGGTGAGAACCCCTATCAAATTTTTTTTCCACTCACATAAATATTAAGGTTGAACGTAATACTATATGTTTAAGTAACTTGAACATGTGTTAGGTAAAACTGCAACATTTCTCTTAGAAACAATGGATTATTATTTTAAAAGCAAAAGCTGACAAAACTAGACAACTATTTTTTCAAAATAAGTTTATCAATCGCGCATGTTACGAACCCCTTCATCATCTCATACCAACTTACATAACTTCACAACTCATAAGGTTAACCTGATACATGAAAACACAGAATTTAATTGAAATAAACATGTAATGTACAGATTTTTTACACTATAATATAATCATGGATGGTGCTATCATTAAGAATGGTTGATTTTTATAATGACTACTCTATCTTCTAATAAGTGTAAAAATCTTTAAATGGGAAAATTAAACTCAAAGTAAAAAATGTAAAACCGTTTCATTTGCATGTGATCATTTGTTAAACTTATTGTCAAAGAAAAGGGGGATATTTTATAAAATAGGTTAATAGTTAACACAGCTTTAATTCTAATTTAAGAGGCGAATGAATAAAAGATGAGATTTTTGAAGAAGCCCACGTTTCAGAAATGCGTTGAGATGAGATGAATGTATGAACCTGAAGGAAAGGTTTTCCGAAGACATGAATGGTGGGTCTGGTCCATGGAATGTGATTATCGAGGTAATGGAACCATTCCCATGATTGATCGGAGGGTATTAACCTCTGAATGTAAACGACGTCGCTTCCATTTCCGAGATCCAATGTTTCCCTCTTCAAGCTGTGGTTAGGATTCGCCCCCGAATCCGACACCGCCTTCAGCTTCAACACACTCATCGATGATCGCAAAATGTTCATACCCTCTTCTCATTCTAATAGATATAAATTTCAAAATTTTGTTGTTAAAATTTTTATTTATATTTCATCGGTTATTGCTATAGTCTCAGTCACGGACAGTCCTCTTTTATGAGAAAAAAAAAATTGCTGTGAGATAAACTTAATCGTAAACAAAGATGGCTACTTTTTATTTTTTATGATTATATTTAATCTCTGTTATTTATTTATTTTTTAAAACAAGGCATCGAGAATTTTTGTATTTATGTGTATAAATAAATAAAAAACAATTTGATTCAATTAATATGCAATTTTTTCTTTTATCTAAATCCTTTGAGAGGAGTTTAAATTAAACAAAAAAAAAATTGACTTCCTTTATTTAATTTTTTTCAAAATTTTAAACCAAACCAAAAAACAAAAAAGTTTCCTTCTTCCTTTTCTAACCAAATATCCTACACAAAGAACAGAAAAATGTTTGTTGAACTACTAGAGAAATGAATACCGGATAGACACCATAGAGCATCTTTTATGTTTATAGCTTTTGATATGGCATTAAGAAAGACTGAAAAATACAAATAAAAAATATATTCAAATAATAGAACTCAGTAACAATGTCTTCAACAGATAGAATTTAAATACTGCTTAACATATTTTAATTTGTAAACCAGTATTCTTTCAAACAACTAGTTAAACAAAAAAGAACCAAAACTTATCATCATATTTTAAAATAATTTAAAATAAATATAGATAAGATTATATGCTCCTTAATCAATAATCTTTCTGAATTGCTAGCAAAATTTTGTCTGAGAATCTTATGGCCACAATTTAAGCAAGAACTATCCCTCACATATAACCATGTCAAAGGCTTAAAAGAACACACTCACACACTATGCAGGGTACCTCCAAAGCACTACTACATTATGACCTAGTAATTGTATAATTAGCACATGTTTAGGAATTATTTAAAAAAAGCAATCGTTTCATCTTTTAAAACTCTCTCAAAAAGTTTAAAAATAATATTTATTGAAAACTCCTCTGTATGGTGGCTGCAATAGCACATTATAAGAAATCACAATTCAATATTCTTATTCTCATTTTCACTTCCAATGCTCCACAACACACCACATCCCAAACTCCTATAAATTCCTCCTCAACTGCATAATGCTTATGTTGTGAAGCACTTTTTCAACAAAAATGAACTGCAAAGGAACAGTTGCATTTATACTGATTGGATTTCAGACTTGTTCAACAGTTTTTCTTAAGGGTAAAGAATGATTTAAGAATTAAGCAAGACTTGTATTTCACTGTCGCTTGTTTTCAGAAACATTCTTTTTTGTTACAAAGTATATGCTATCAATGTATTCATCATGCAAATATTAATAGATCTCTTTGTTCAAAGTTTGACAATTTTATGACACTATTAAGTTTTCACACTTATTACATGACAATTACAACTCCTTGTTCAGAAATAAGAAAATGGAAAAAATTAACATTTTTTCATGCAATTGCTTCTCATGTTTCCTCTCTGGATTACAAATTAAATTATATCTTACACCTAATTATGTCTTACATTTTTACGTGCATTGTGGGCTTGGAACGCTAGGAAGAGCTTGGAGCGCACTTGGTGCATCCTGTTGCAGCGGTCCACTGAGAGAGACGGTAAGGGAAAGAGAAAATTAGAGGAATAGGAAAACAAGGAACACGAGAAAAAAAATTAAAAACCTTTTTTGGCAAATATGAACTCTTACGTGATAAAATATTAAAAACAATGATAATGTGATAGTATTTAGTTAAAATTTTTGTTATTTAATTCTTCACTTGTGAGAAGACTCGGGAACTAATTTTAAATATTTTAAAAATGACATGACTAAATCTTCACAATTTAAAAAAAAAAACTAATTTCAAAGAAAACTATTTTTATGAAGAACAAAAATTCAGCCAATTTATCACCATCACCAACAATGTAGAGTTGAAAACAACAACCATCACAACTTCTCTTTTCTTGACATATCAGAAAATCAGTACAGTATCATCAAAACTTGCACAACACCCAATGAGTGCTGAACTGCTGATTGCTAAAATGAAGGGCTAATTTTCTACTTTTTTTGGGTAATGTAATACAAGCCTAACAACACACCATAAAGACCAAAGAACCCATAAATCACTACTTGTCCATTAGGAAATGCAACTTCTAGTGCCTTTTAGCTAACTGGGGATGAGACATCCCCAACTTGCAGCTAAATTTCACTGGAATATGCATTATGAAGGATTCTTTTTTTTTTTTTTTTTCATCTTTGGGTAGAAACATCTATGTAGGAGTTAATCAAATGCAAGCCTCAAACTACATATAAAATGTTACAATTATGATCTTGTCAGAGATCTACACTTAGACACATGCAAGTTGTGCACTATATTGAGGGTGCAACAGGTGTGACCAACTTGACAGTCAATTCTAGCTCCCCAGATTCTACTCCACGAAGCCTTAACCAAACATTCTGCACCACCTCACCATTAACACAATTGATGCTGCTTTCACGTACAATACAGTTTTCACTATCAGGTATCACCTTCCTTAATGTTGTCTCACCAGAAGAGACTCGTAAAATATCTCTCAATCTAGCAGCAGAGACTAATGGTTGAAGGTTGAGGAATGCGTTTCCCATCTTGTCATCAGCTTTCAAAAGATCTTTGTCAAACACTTCCTGTAAACAAAAAAAAAAAAAAAAAAAAAAAGCAACCCTATTATACAACATAAAACTCCGCCAATAGCCACATAGCCAGTTCCAAGCCAAAGAAGGACCTTTGACAGTCAAAATAAAACTTATCAAAATATTTTATATAGATTAGACACGACGGATATACACAATATAAGGATCAATAATGCCTCTAATTCAGAATTTAAAATTATTAGCAGAAAAATTACTATAACTATTTTTTTATCTTAATTATAAAAAATAAAAATTTATTTTTAAATGTATTAATTGTTAAAATTTTTTATATTTTATTTATTGTAAGACTATGTTAATGAAAGAGTCACTAATTGCTTACAAGTGAATATATTGATTTATTAATAATTATTTCTTAATATGAGTATGGTCTTGATAATCAATGCCTTTAAGATACTATTTACAAACTAAATAAATAGTAACTTTTTAATATATATATATATATATATATTGAAATTCATTGAAAATTATAAGAGAGGTGGTTTTTGCATTTTTTAGTAAAAAAATTACTTTTAATTCTTTAACCTTTGCACTTGCCTTAAAAGCACCGGGGGGTTTTTTTTTTTCCCATAATACACTATAAATTTATGATATAATTGTTCTTCATTAATTTTAATGAAAAAAACATTGGCTTCTTATAAAAAAAAATTCAAGAGAATATTTCACAACCACACTAAAACACAACTTGAGTACCTTCCATGCAAAAAAGACTAATAAACTAGCAAAGACTGAAGGAAACACAGAATGAAGGGGCAAAATAATATCAGGAAACTCACCAAACCCAGAACTCCCAAGGGTTCTGTCAGAGTGAAATTCAGTTCTTCATTCCAAACAGGATTCAAGCAGCTATTGATTACCTTAGTCTTTGCGGTCTGACACAATTTAATGACCTCATTTCAACATTTTAAGCGAAAAATATGCCACATAATGTTAATGTCAAGAGAAACAAGCTAAAAATGAAATTGAAATATAAAACCTACTTACTTGATTCCCTAGTTTGAGCACAACATAAGGATCACTGCTCTTGAAATCCCGGATCACCAACCTTTTCCCTTGCACTACTGTGACTTTTAGCAGCCCCAATTGTTCACTCATTATACTCCTACTAAGAAGTTTAATTATCAATCAACCAGGGTCCACACCAGTCCACAACACAAATATGTAGTTGAATTATTTAAAGTTCATGTAGATATGAAGACGAATTGTGGAAAATATTTCCCCTCTGCAAAGAATCAATAGTTATCATTTTTAACCATTTGTTTAAGTCTAATTTTTCTTTTTTCTTTCTGTCAATAAGATTTATCCAGAAAAATTACAAGGAAATCCAATGCAAAATAATGAAAAACGAACTGAACATGAGAATAGAATAAACCACGTATATTATGTTGGAGAAGGGAGCTTGCAGTGGAAAACAAGGCAGTAAAATATTCACCCATAACAAAAGTTAAGTTTTTTCAAGTAACTAAATCTAGCAAAATTGCTATAGCAACAACAATAATAATAAAAAGCATTCGGAAACAAGAGAAGGGCAGAAAAACCGACAGCAAAAACCATAGATCATTCAACAGAAGAATGAAGAGTGGATTCCTCACGGAATCAACATTAAATAAAGAAAAAAAGAAAGAAGAATCATGGGTAGTAGTAGGATCGGAATCCACAGAGAAGAGTGTTTGGCATTTGGTAACAGTGATCCAAGTTGAAGAAAACAAAAGGGAAAAGAGAACTCTTATGGAAGTTTAAAAAAGAGAGAGAAAGCAAAGAAACAGAGATGAAAGGAAAGCAGTAGTAACTTACCAATGGATATGTGTTGAGATGCGAAGATGCCTTTAATTAATATTTGTGTGTGCAGTGTGTTGTGTGTTGGTGAATGGTGCCAAATATAAAGACATTGAGACGAGGAAAGGTTGCAATTCACACGTGTCAGTCAAAGGATATCATTATTCATTATTACATATCACTGTGTTGGCTGCAGGATTGACTCGGTTCACCTTTCTTTGTTATCACTGTTTATTTATTTATTTATTTAATTTTTCTAACTTTGCAACGTTGTATAATATATAAGAAGTTTTATAAAATAAATTTTAATTAAAATTTTTAATTATATTAAATATTATTTATTTATTTATTTATTTAGATTGAGAGAGTGTGTGGAACTGTGGCTGTAGCAGTGTGTGCGCGTTTGTGACTCGGTTCACTGCTGACTCTGACAACGCTCATTTTACTTACTTTGTAATTTTCATAAACACCAACACAACACTTTCTATTTCAAACGCGTGCACCACAAACCTTTCCTTTTCTATTCTTTTTCTTTTTCTTTTTCTTCTCCTTTTTTAGTATCCTATCCATTCAACGAATGAATAATATTTATTATTTTAGATAATTAATGACATTAAATATAATGTGTCAAACAATTTTAAATCAGTTTTATCACACCGTTCTCTTTTTTTTTAAGTTGAAGCTAATTCCACGTAAAGAGTGTTAAAGCTAGATATATGTAAGAGATGTTCAAAATAGCTCATCGTATTTTAGTTCTACGAGAATATAGACCAGTTCGAAGTAACTTCATTAGTTAATTCTGAGGTTCATGTGCCTGGCTTTTTCAAAAGAAAATTATAATGCACAGTTATCAGTAACCTTTTGAATTCCGCAGTTAATAATTTGTTAGACTAATGGTTGCCCATTAAATAATAAATGTATCCTAACAGATAATTTTAAAAATTTATTTTATAATTTCTTTAATCACACGAATAGAAAGTTTATGAAAAGATATGCTGTCATACTCACTTTTAATGGTAATATTTTAATAACTCGATGACACAAGGGATGTGATAGTTAGGGGACTCATCAAACTAAAATAACATTTGTAATATAAAAATCTTATAAAGGATTATAAAGTGAGTGAACATATGTTGAGACTTTAGCTAGTTTTATTTGCATGGAAACCACGCTTTTCACGTTCTAAGATTTTGATGCGATGGATGTAAGAACAATATCGTTCATAGGATGATATAATCTACTTTAAATGAGCGACACTTAAGAACTGCACTTAGAATCTATATTTTCATAATAATCCTTCTACTATTTTAAAAAATAAAGATTATATAAAAATATTCATTTATCCTTACGTTGAAAACAAAAAACAGTAAAAAGAGGATTTAGAATTATTCTTGTTCCAATAGATATTTTATGCAAAGAAAAATCATCTTATTAATTGCATTACTATATAAAGTAATTAGCAACAGCATTTATTTTTGGGGGACAAAGGAAACACTAGCATTGCATCTGAAGTCAACAATATTAAGTAGTCGAGATAGTGAAACTCATTTCAGTTCATAAAATGAAAAACAGTTGGTTCATAAAACCATGTAATGTACAACACAGAACATGGAGCTGAAGGTTAGGTCAGATTTTTCAGGGATGCTAAGACTAAAAGGGTATGAAAAAGATAGAGATACAAATACAATTTATCCCACGTATAGCTGTACATGTTGCCCCAGTCAATAAAATATCAATTATGATGGAAGGATGAAAAACATCCTCATGAATCATATGCTAAACCTATCACCTACACTAATCAAAGGTCATTTAGCATAACATAACCCTAAAAAACACTAAAGCACCACTTTAACGCGGGAATCACAACTGTTATATTACATCTACAGGGTGGTTACAAGACAAGCATAGCACATCTATTAGTGCGTCAATAATGGCTGTCGTCACCTACATTGATACCTTGCACTTGCACTGAAACACACTAAATGCTGCCACAGCATCACTGCTACTGAAATCTTCAGAGATTTGTTCTACAACTGCCACACTGCTCACCGTTTTTTCCCTGAGCTTTTCTTTGCCGAGGGACGCCTCCATTTGCTCTGCACCAGTCATTCTTAGTGATTAGCATAGAAAATAATACGTACTAGATTTTGTCAAGATTAAGTACAAGAAAAGTAGGTGCCACAAATCTGCAAAGGATGATGAGTTGTTTACCAGTGGCTCGTCATCAGAAACCTCAGCAATTCTGTCACCATCAGGACTTGCTGACTCTATTAGCGATTTTTCCACTTCTATGGGACTACTTTCCCCATCGCCCTCATTTTGGTTCCCTTCAGAACCTGATTCTCCTCCATCATCATTTTTCCTCAAAGCTCCTCTCAATTCATCCACATCTGTCTCTTTTGATCTACTTTCTTCATCATCATTTTGAACTCCTTGTGGGACACCCACTTTATCTTTGGAAAGCCTCTCGCCATAATCCAGGGTCTCTTTATCTGATTCTTTCCTATAACTCAAGCTCTTCTCTTTCTTTGGTTTCTTTCCCCGTGAAATTGATTTTACTTTCTTGCTGAATTTCTTCTCCTTGTTTATGATTACATCAGACCCTTCAGCTTGTTCCCCTTCAGAACCACCTAGAACAGAAAACTAAACTTATAAAAAGGAGGGAACACAAAAAAAAAAAAAGCAGAAGTCTTGCATAATAATGAGGAACCACATACTCATTGTCAAAACTAATTGACAAACTAAGAATTAACCATTTCACACAAGCAAGAGTTAGCAATAATCGTGATCAATAGATTATAGATGGAATGACACAAAAAACAAAAGAAAATTTTAGTTAAAACCTGTATTGGAATCGATATCAGAAGAAAAATATAGGTTAAACTATTCTTTAGGTCCCTGAACTCTTTAATAAATTGTAAATAAGTCCCTATATGTTAAAAGTTTGTAATTAGGTCCCTAAAATTTTAAATCGTTTTTAATTGATTCTCTATTCACAATTCCGGTTAAGTTTCTGTTAACTAAACGAACCTAATTAAAAATTTTCAAATAGTTCAAGGACTTGTTGAAAAACATAACTTGTGATCTGGTCCCCAAATTATTTGAAAATTTGTAATTAGATCCCTTCACTTAACAACCCTAACAGAATCCTGACATAAATGTAACTAGGGATCCAATTAAAAATTCAGGAACTAATAACGAACTTTTAAGATCAAGGAACTTCTTTACAACTTTCCAAAGCGTTCAGAAACCAACAGTGTAATTTAACCTAAAATACATGTCCCATTTACAGCACAATAACTAAATGAGTTTTTGTTAACATCAATCCTTAACACTAGTGTTTAAGATTATGAAAAGTTTATAAAAAATACATTTATTACATTGAAAATACTAATTTTATATATTAGAAGAGTTTGGAAACTAACATCATCCAAGATTTCTCCTTGTAATTGTTGAAGTGCCCATCCAAATATTAGAAACACATACATTATTTTATTAATCAGTCTTTTTATAAGTATAGCAGTTAGCAGATAAGAGGAAGAGGCATACCAAACATTAAGGTTATTACCTAGTGAACAGCAATATGGGTTCTAGTTGCACAAATAAACTCTTACGAGATTAAGGGTTCCCTCATTTTGACCCTTTCCAAACCCCCATAATGATGGAAGCATCATGCACTAGGCTTCCCTTTTTATGGGTATGAAAGAAAAGATAATATTGTCTTACACAACTCTGAAACCCACCTCAAAGAAAAAAGATTGTCTAAATCTTATAAAAAATATTCTGACCATATTCTTAGCAAATGTAAGATATCTTAGCACATCTCTCTTACACCCAAAACTGAATATTTGAAGCATGAAATATGTAGAACTATACATCTGCAAAAGGCCTAACATTAAGATTAAATAGGCTCTAATATCATGATAGAAATAAATCGAGTCTAATTGGAGGATTTTCCAAGTCTTATAAGAAGTATTCTAACTATATTTTTATCCAAGGTACATCTTAATTTCTATGAGCTTTAAAACTCCAGTGCATTGACAACACAAATTTGTTTTCCTGACAAAAACTAACATTGTTGTCACCATTTGAGGGGAGCTTTCACAAACTCCACTGCATTGACAACAGAAATTTATTTTCCTAACTAAAACTAACATTGTTGTCACCATTTGAGGGGAATCTGGGATGACTGTCCATTTGTCTGAAGGGATAGTACATTTAAACCTAGACAGTTGATTAATGTTTTTTAAAAATAAATTATGAAAATTATACTGATAAAATCCAATTACAAGAAATGGGACTTGAGTCCGACAATGGAAGTATGGAATTTTAGTGTAAGGTTTATAAGGCTTTAGGCTCTCCAACTACAGTGACTAACTTCTATGATATGGTTCTCTCAAGGTTATAATCATACTAACAAACATGCATTGGTCAACAGCAAGCATGCCAGCAATAGATGTTACTAAGATTGACACACAAATGCCACTCCTGGCAGGACATGTAAACAAGCCAAGCATCTATTTAACAAAGACATTTAAGCAAGCCAGGAGATATATAGCTAGCAATGGGATGACTAGAGCAATATAGTTTTATCCTTTACAAATGACTTTATATTTCACAAAGTATGTTGAATAAGCCTGTTCAATATAACTGGATTTGCTGACCCAGATCCAAGCCATGTTAAAAAACCAGATAATTAAAACCAATTTCTGGTATATAAAAAAAAATTAAAACTGTTATTGAAGTCTAACATCAACTATAGATATGACTAAATAAGAGTTTATAAAGACTAAACCAATATTGGTATCAAAGTCAAAGGTAGATCCAATATTGGACTTTGTTTCTTTGTTTTTTTTTTTTTTTATATTAAAAAAAAAAACCTATAATTTCCACACTCTAGATGTTCAATCATGAGTGTGACAGGATATGTTGAAGTTAAAACAAGCTTCACCTTACAAGTTAACTTTTTGGGTTGAGTTAGGGTTATAACCCAAATTCAACAACTAGTTTTGCCTAAAAGACCATATTTAAAATCAGTTTTGCTTTAAAAACTGGATTTAGAACCAAATTTTAAAATCAGTTTTAAACCAGCTTTGAGAAGAAAAAAGTGGATTGGGTTGAAATCCAATCCATACAATTGGTTTTAAAATATATTTGAATTGGTTTTAAGTCAAGTCAATTCATCCACAGCCCTATTATGTCAAATTTAATTATCTCATAGTAGTCTACAAGTCAAATAATGGGAGAAGTTTGAAAAGGAAAAACACCACCATCTTTTCCTAGCTAAAATGATTTATCAAATGAAGAAGCTGAATAAAAAGACAAGAAATTTTTCACTTGACAATGGATTTGTTTAGAGATCTATAAACTAGAAATAAGCTATTCAAAACACACTAATATAATAACCAGTTGTACTCAAGTCCTGAATCATTAAAGACAGTACACAAATTTGCCAAATATAAACAAACATTATCACATGTAACCAACCAATCATGAGATGTAAATGACAATCAATACACACATCACATATATTAAGTTTCATTACCTGAATTAATCTCAGCTTTAGATACAATGTTATCTTCAGGGTTTGATGCATCCTCATGATGGAAATTATTTTTTGATGCACCTTTCTGTCCTTTTACGTGCTTTCGAGGAGATTGCTTACCATTAACTCTAAACAACAAATTGATATGAATTATAATGATAGAACATTGAATAAAATCATAAACGTACACAATAGGATCTCATATTTTTCCACTAACATTTTTTTTGTCTTCTTATTTGCTGAACCACTAGAACTTCTCTGCTTCTTCCCAGTAGACCTATAAAACAATCACGAAAAACAACACACAAAAGGAAGAGAGCAAACTCAGAATGGGGTACAAGACCACGTCCAATTAAGCTAGTAAAAATAAAACACAGAAAGCACTTAAAGCACATGAACATTCAACTTTTCCAAAAATATCATTGAAATTTTCATATTCAGATGTACAATGAAATATTTTCATCCAGATACAACTAAACCAAAACTAACTTGTAAAGAGAATACTTACTCTTCACGAAAAGAGAGAGTTTTTGATGACTTTGGCTTCTGGAAAGATTATATTAAAAAAAAAAATCAAACTTTAATGGCATTTGATATCTTTTAGTGGAAATAGTAAAGGAACAGTAGAACGGCTTCAGAGAAAGAAAGAAAGATTAGTGGAGAATTAGAGACCTTAGTAGGTTTGTGGTCCCTGCCAACAACCTCCCAACGCTCCTTTTCCAAACGGAGTATTTCTACATCCCCATCGTCATATAATATCTTCCACATAACATGCCACAGTACAATTGCGTCAGAATTATAAGTTAGCAGGCAGATTAACTTTGCACCTATTTAGAATGTTAGCTTACCACATGCTTCCTCTTCAAAGGATCATGAGACTTAACCGTCCCTTCATAAAATCTGCCGAAACATTAATACGCCAACATGAGAAATTTTAATTAGAAATCCTAGGAAAGCAATAGAAGAAATATGGGAACATTATTGAAAATTGTCTCTAAGCTTTAACAAAGGCATACAGAAAGCACATTAGATGGTACTGTACTCGTAAGGATAAATCCAGAACCAGTCAGAATTAAAATCAGTAAATGAGAACAGATGCAACATGAAAAAATTAAGAAACAGCCAAACTAAGAATGATGAAGTTAAGAGAAGTAGCTAAACCCAGAAGTCATCTTTAGATAATGAGGTCAAAATACTTCTAACATGACATCACTAAAAAAACAGGTCATTTTCTAGTTTGTCTTTAGATGAAACAAAAAGAGTGGCATCCATGCACAGTTTTGCTTCTACAGCTGATCTCTCTAGATTTAAGATAAGCACTTACTGCTTATCCATAGGCCACCAAACTTTAATTCTGCAGCCAATCAGATCGTCAGCATCACTTTCACCTTTGTTTGTCGTACACTACAGGGTGAAAAAACAAATCAATTCAAACTATTATCCAAGAGTCTTACTGGAACACAAACATTATAACATGGCAGAGAGATGCTTCTGACATACCTTAGCTAATCCCCCAATACTTTTTCTTTTCATCTTTTTAGTAGATCCTATGGATGACTTCAAATTGTCACTTTTAGAATTATCAGTTGGCTTTAAATTATCAGGACTCTGCAAGAGAAACAAAATAAGCAGAAGTCTATGCCATTGACAAGTTCAACTTTAAGATTCAACAGAAGTATAAATTTGCCAGACGGTAAAATTTCACCTTCAAGTGCTCTTCAGATTTGTCAGAGTCATAGTCATGATAGCTCTTAGAAGCCCCTCTGCCTTTGACCATTTTTCTCTGCTTAGTTTTGATATCTATATCAGGGTTAATTTCTGCACGTAACAGCAATTTCATTCCAGAAGAATCTTTCCCTGAAACTCTTTCGGGGGCTTTTGGAGTACTACTTGATCTTGATTTTCCATGGGTAAAGGAAGACCGCTTACGTTTAGGCACCGGAACAGGTGTTAGATCTCCTGTTTTACGTTTTTTAATTGTTGCACTGTCTGGATCCTTCTGCTGCATCTTTTTACTCAATGAATTTTCATGACCATTACTTGATTCAAAATTAGTGGATATCCCCAAGTTATCCAAATTTATTTGTCTGACCATATTTAAGATATCAATATCATTTTCAGCCTTTTTGGTTTCAGCTGGCACAGATTTTTTCTTTTTCAGTTTTTTGCCCTTGGTTCCCTGAGATTTTATGTCCTTCATTATTTTTCCCAGGGGCATTTCATTTCCATCTTTCTCACTTTCCTTTAAAGCACCATCCTCGGCTAATTGAGATGGAACCTGACATATAGAATAAACATCACATGATTCAAGATACCAAAAAAAAAAAAAAAACTAAACTTTACCCTTTGCAACAAACATACCATTTCTAATTCAAGTGATTCAAAGTGAGCCAAGACATTTTCATCAGCCAGCCAGGATTTCACCTCACTTACCTGCCAAATAAAATAAATGGCATTGATAAGCATTTCTATTTTAATTAGAAGTAATCCAAGACCTTACATATGTCCAAATCTGTCAATGAAGACTAAAATCCATTCTGAGTTCAATGTTCAGAATAAAGCTTACACAAAAAAAAAAACCCTAATCACACTCCATCAAACAGTAAGAATATGTTATCACCGTTTAACCAAAGGGAAATGTATTTTATCTTCTTGTAACTAAATCATGCTAATGCCGATATCAGATCTCCAGCACCATGAAAGATTGAAAGTTTGATCAAATTAAAAGATAAAATATCTTATGTTGAGCTAAAGAAACAACAAAATCTACAACTTAAAACACACACATTCAAAATGTTTTAACAAGATTAAAATTTAATATAAGATAGCATGGTGCATGCAATAGGCAATAGCAATGTTATAATAAATCAACCTCTTCAATAAAAGGTATCTTAAAAAATTTAGCAACTATTTGGGAGGCATTTTGTCCAGAATGTAAAAGAACACTCAACAATTTAGCACACCAAGAGGAAATTATAAAATTTTAGAAGAAAAGAGAATACCATAAGGTCGTTTTCCTTCTCACATGCTTTGCCTTTGTATAGTATTGGAGGCAGAGAAAATGGAGATAATCCTTGCAAATCGACATCCTTCTGTACTAGTCGCCTGATGATTGCTAACCCAAGGTCACATATGGCATGAGAATTCTGGTCATGCATTGATCAGAAGTGTAAGATTACACATTACAGTCTCATTGCTTTGACATAAGCAATTTTAATTAATGTGACAAATAAAATGACTTATACTCAACCTTTGATTTTGATGCATCAAACACATCTTCAGATTGCTTAATACTCCAAAAGATAGAAGTGATGGTATATATAATTTCCTTCTCTTTGTCAGTATTTAGTTCTGACTTGACATCTTCATCTGTTTGCACTAGCATTAATAGTACCAAGTGCAACTGCCTGACAATTCAGGAAATAATAAAAACTCCATAAGAATAAGTATTCCCAACATATCTCATATTTTGGAGCTTACAGCAGAAGTAAATCTATAGGTATCAGCCCAAGATGCATTCCACAATCATATTAAAAAAACAAAATCAACACAATCTGTGGAGTACAACAAATCATTCAATAGATAAATTTAAGTGTTCAGCATCCAAACCAAAACTATGCAAATAGACCCTAATGGTGTTTGGACAGGGCAAATAAATTACACAGCAACATGAGAACTCTTACAAGTAAAAGCTTTTAGTGCACACACATCTGCAAGTGTGGCTTTTCAAGTTACTCCAAACTAAGACTAAATAAGTGTTTCCATATACTGTACAATGAGTATGCCACTATGCCCAAAGGCAAAACTTTGAAGGATGCATGTGGCTTACTTTAATATCTTTTAATCAGCATACAACTATCAATAATCACAAGTATTATTATAATATAAATCATAAAATCAGTACACAGCTCACTAACAGTCATGAAATATCAAGGCCAACTCAAGATCCCCTCCCCCCCGGCCCAGGGTGTGTTTCAAGTCTCTCTTTTGAACTGGGTTTACAAGAATATCTAAATGCATGCTTGAATTAGCATATTTTGGAGAAATAATCAGTTAACCACTTGATTTTTGCAGATTCCTGAGGGATTTTCAATTAAAAAAAAAAAGGTAGTTATTTCTCAAATTTAAGTTGTACGAAAACTTGGGGTAGCAAATAAGCAATTAGTACAGACAGGTCCTATATGTGTAAAATTGTACCTGTATATATTATCATATGCTTCAACATCCTTGCACTCTTCAATATTAGGGCATGATATGTTAGCAAGGGCATGAACTAAATAAGGAAGGATGTATTCAGGGTAAGTGATCAAGGAATTTGCATCTGATTGTCCAGAAAGCTGCCAAGCCCTAGCTTGGTGATGCATGTGAATAATGTCACCCAGGTTCTGCTTGTCCTGCATTAACAGGCATAGTCATCATAAAGACACAAAATTATGTCAAAACTAGGAAAATTGCAATTGCAAAAAAATTGAATTTATTAAAATATTACCTCTGCAAACTCCTCTGGCTTGGATCCAAATATATTGAATATAAAGGCACATGCATATTTGGCATCCAAAAGGTGGTCTTTTATATATTGATGAACTTTGCTCAAGAAAACTTTCTTAGCTTGAGGGAAGCTAATCTGTCAGATCCAAAAGAAGACAGAGAAACAGTTATTTCTACAGTGAAATGAAAACTTCAACAAACCAATTTCAGTCTACACATATGAAAAGAGTAAATGATGAAAATGTGGCAAATAAATCATAAATGCTCAAGAAATTAAGTAAACAGAAGAAAGAACTTACCTCTGTTGCTCTTACAGTTAAGTGGTATATGTCAACGGGTATCTTATGATCCCAAAGCCTCGACAAACGAAGAACTGCTTTTGCAGAAGCAAGCCTCAAATGGGCCTTATCAACTGAGCTGCAAGAGGGCATAAATGAGTACGAAGTATCTGGACCCAATCATAAAAAGTGACAATTTTCAAATTAAGTAACTAAAATTAAGCTCTATGAAGCTGATATACCTTGACTGTATGTCCTTTGATATTTCACCATAAGATAACATGTTTCTAAGGATATCCAACAAACCATCAATACCAGGACGCACATGAGCATCTTTGATTGGCAAGAAGCTTTTCACTATGGTTTTGATGCCATATATCTGCAGCAAAGAAACAAAGAGAAGAGGGGCAAAGAGAGAGAACAAAAGAAATGTCAAAAAGGTAAACTTACAAGCATTATCCAATGTGTCAAATTACAGAATACTGTCCAAAGTATTAAAAAAAATAGAATACCTTCAACACACAAAGATCACTTCTATCATCCCACGATGTTCTTGTGTGATCTTCTTTCTGAAACTGTGAAACAAGCATTTAAACAGAATTTAAGTACTTGCATGCTTATCTTATAAAGGATCACATCATTAGCAAGAATTTGGAAGGCTTACACTATCACTTTTCAGAATCTTGTTTATTATAAATTCTTCAATTTCACTCTCTCTAGTTTCAAATACAGGCATTGCAGTCTGTGCTATACACCCTAGAGACTGCAATACTGCAGGTAGATGTGTTTTCTCCTCCAGCATATCTACAAGCCTCTGCATATAAGATGAGAACAATCAGAATAAAAAATTACAGAATATTTTAATAAGGGGGAAATTGCATCTACTTCCTGTGAGGATCAAATTACACTAACACCCTTCTTATTTGGAAAATTAAACCTGCCTCCCTTACTATATGTACTGTTCTCATACTTTTGACAGTTTTTTTTAACAAATCACATATACCAGACCATACACAGAGTTCCTTTAAAAATCACAAAGCATGAGAAGTGGTGTGATATTTCAAACAAGTTGGGTTTAGGTATAATTAGCACTAATCTCAAGGGAGGTCAACATAATTATCCCTATAACAAATGAATTAACTATATGAAACCTTGTACAGAACAGAAAGAGACTTGAGGCCATCATCCTTTGTTATTGCAGCCAGAGCATGAACAGCATACTTGGCCTGTCTCCGACTGCCTTCTAAACACAGTCTCTCCAACATAAGGTCTACAGAACTGTGTGAAATAAGGACTAATAAGAATATTATAAAAAGAAATGGAACATAAAGAGTTATCAAATTTAACAGTGGTACCTTGATGTAACTGCAAGCTGTTCACGAATAGTACCACCAGCCTTTGCCAAAACATTTAAAACACCCTCTTTAATCATATCACTATTATCCTTAAGTAAATTCACCAGCTCCTCCTCACTACCACTAAAAAGATATGGACTGAAACGAGCAATTATCTGCATTTCATCATAAGTCCAAACTGAATTAGAACATGTTACTGCTCAATAACAAAATCATAGAACTATATGAAGAAATTGAAAGAAGGCACTGAAAAGATACAAGCATCATAATTCAAATGCACTTTTTAAGATATTGATAAACCATTAAAGCTCCTTCTCTTAACAGCTTAAATATACAAGATGAATAGGCTTCATGACATGGTATCAATGCCTCATTAACCAAAAGTACAATTCTTACCACCACATTCCCTCAATTAAATTAAATTCAGCCAGCACACAGTATTGGTGGGGCTGTGCTCTCTCAACATTTTAAGGTTAAAAGGGCTGTTTTAGAAATATCAATAAAATCATTCATTAGCCTTCTTGGCTACTCCTAAAGCTTAAGTTTTGGGATGAATTAGTAAGCTCAAATATACTAATTAATCAAGAGCCAGTAATGACAAGGCTATGCAATCAGAACAAGCAAAAAATATAGAGAAGTTTAGGAATTCCTCCTCCCCTCCCCCTTTCTTCTGCAATGAACAAAAATGTTCAGAATATACAATCATAAAATGAATATCCGTTGCAACAAGTCAATACACCGTAAAATGACATATTCTTACCACTAACATATTTATGCAAGATTGAATATGCTGATCACTCTCTGCAGATTTTTGTGTGATGATTTCTGAAAGAATAGCTTTTACATGCTCCTTGTTGAAAAGCAAATAGGAGCACTTTATGGAGAAGGTATTCAGAAATTCATAGAGCTGATGTTTTTCACCAAGTATTTTAAGCAATTCATCCTGGACACACAGAGTAAGGAAATAACTGTCATCGGTGAATAACAAACTGTAAACTATAGTTCCTTTCTTTCTTTAATAGAAAAGAAACATAAACATAGATTGTCTGATTCTTCAATTACTACTCTTCTAATAGACTTCTAAAGTCGAAGAGTTCATTGGAATTAATTACAATGCTAAAATTTATGCAATTCATCTATTGGCACCTTTTTAAAGAAGTTAATATATCCAATGGGAAAGCACATGCAGAGACCCATGTAAAATGCATTAGCAACAAGTTTGGAAGCTTAAAAATATACCTCAAAGGAATCAAGTATTAACTTCAAAGATTTAGTTCACATATCTATCAGTTTCAGATTATATTACCCTGTATACACGAGTTTGATGGAAGCTAGTATTTGGATCAACAAGATCTGTCAAAATTTTCCAGATATTAGCATCTTTTAATTGATCAAGAATCTGGTAACTCTCTTCAGCCTTTGTTGGGTCAGCAAATGAACGAGACATAACACGGAAACAGAACATGATCTTTTTCTGGACCTCAGGAATGTCTTTCTCCTGCATTTAAATTTGATCAATCCCTTTTTCTCAACAAATTTCCTTTGAAACTTCATCTATCTAACTTTCAAGATAACATACCTGATTAATCTGCCTTAGAGAAAGATATTTCTGCATCTCTTCCTGTAACCTGCGACCAAAGTGGCACCATGAAAATTGAAAATTTGTGGCACCGGGATGAGTATAAGCCATTACAGAGATCAACCAAGCTTACCGTTGTTTTTGCTCCAGTATCTTTTCAAGAGCCTTGACCTCCACTTTGTCAAATCCAGAGAAAATCTCAACCCAGCGTTTAACTGTATCATTGACAGAAAACTCTGATGGAAATAGGGACTCACATAGAATAGATTCAATTATATCTGATCTGCAGAACAAAGTGAACAACAGAAATGTCAATAATAAACATTTTATTCTTATGAAAACAAAAAACAAGAAATTCAAAACATACAAAAAAGGAAGGGAAAGAAACATACTTAGAGGATTACAACAACTTTTACTGCTAAGGCATCCGCCTCTTTCCATTTCATACTAGTTAAATGAGTAGAAATTGGAAAAAGAACCAAATAAACACAAATCAAAGTAATAAGAACCACACTACAAAAACTAATTATTGTAGTTGGAGAACCAAGACAATCTTACACTAGAATTCCATATTTTAAATATAAGACTCAAGTCTCATACTTTGCAACTGGATCCTAACATCCCACCTTGCTCTACAACCTAGGCACCCACATGGGCTAGTTGTGCATTAGCCCTTGAACTAGTCACAGGAAATGTAGTTAGTGTCATACATGTCATGTTACAATACATGCAATTCAATACGAGTCATGCTCCCAGTAATGCAAGTCACACTGCAAATCAGAAATGGGGTTGAATTGCGAATGGGTTAGATAGTGTGCAACCCAGTCTGAAAAACCCTACAAGAAAACCTTAATTTTAGTATTTCTTTTTGCAATTTGGGAGGTAAACAGTCGACTCTTACCCTCCATTGATACCCAGACCAAATATTAAACAAAAGGAACCTTAATTTGCAATTTCTCCGCTTTGTACCTAATTGGACATCTAGAACATGAAAATTGTAAGACTCTTATTTTTTATATAGCACTCGATAAATTGACCAGGTAAGTTGCACAGGGCTAAGTTAATTGCACTAGGAAAATTTGTGCAACCAGAATTTTATTTTATTTTTTGTCAAGGATGGCCCATTATCGGATCTACAATAGGCTTTGATACCATATTGAATTTGGGCTTTAAGCTTAATTCAACCCAAAAACTAGCTTGTAAGGTGAGGATTATTTTAGCCTTTATATGCTCTTATTACCATATTTATAGTTGATGTGGAACTTTAGTAGTCTCAACCTCACTAAGATACAAACTTCGTCTTGTCTTTTTTTATTGCTCTCTTATTTCTCTTAATTATTAATTTTGTCTGCTGGTTTCCTGCCTTATTCTGGTAGTTCTCTACTTTTTTGCTGTCTTTGGCTGTGTTGTGCTATGTGCTGTGTTATTTTCAAGTGTATATGACACTCCATCAGCAATACAGTAAACCATTTTGACTTCAATCCTAAAATATAGATGTTTCTATATGTTAAAATGTTCTTAGATTTACACATTTTAATTATTGATCATGAATTTGTGTTTCATATTACTTTTTTAGCTTATATGTTATTTTTAATTATTGCTCGTGAATCTTACGGTTCGTGATACAATTCGATTCACAATTCAGAAAATAAGCCTTCCAATTCACATTTTCAATTCAGATTCAATAACCTTGGTCATGGGTGAATATTGTAATGCCAACATCACCACCTACTTTTCAAAAAAAAACTTAGCTGTTGTAGTTGGAGAACTTGAAGCTTCATAAATCCTCCACTAGAGGTCATACTTTTAATGTGAGACTCAAGTCTCATATCTTACGAGTTACAATTAATTCCTAACACAAAGCAACGAACTACAACATGAAAGTCATTGGCCTAGTACTCAATGAGAGATTATCCATAAGGAGAAGCCAATTGAATTTCATCATTTACACTATCTTTAGTCACAAATAATTTTAAATCCTCATAATAACAATAACCTTCCTAATTACCAAATGAAGAAACAATGAAATGCTTTCTATATTCCCTAGATATTAAATGCATCAACTTTGCCACTTAATAAAAATAGGATGATATATCAAATCTCTTTCATTAGTATGACATCAAGATAAAAATCTGCAAATGCAATATACTAATCTATATTGTGGTAAATATTAAGTTACATGTTTTTGTCTCTTCACCATAGTTATTAAAATCTTGTGATTTTCCTGATTGAAATCATAAGATTCGATGCATTTTGGCTAGCTAGTGATTTGTAACATACGATGAATCTCAAATGACTTAATCTTATAAATTGAATACATGAATAAATTGACGCAATTCCATATCACTTATACAAATCACATGGTTTGACAATTTATTTTCCTTGTGTTGAAGTCTCACATCGATTATAAATATGATTGAATAAGAGCTTATAAAGATTAAAGCAATCCACATCAAACGAGCTAGCTTTTGGGGTTGTGATAGGCTTAAAAGTCCAAATTCGACATGGTATTAGAGCTTATCGTAGATTTGGTATTGGGCCACTCTTAACTCTTCCATTGCAATTAACCTAGTTGCGATATGGGATTGGGCTACTCTTAACTCTTCCATTGCAATTAACCTAGTCCTGTTGATCTCCCAGTGCAACTTACCTGGTCCCACAGTTTGTCCAATCATAAGCGTGAGAGGGGTATATTGAAGTCTCACATCGACTATAGATATGATTAAATAAGAGCTTATAAAGGTTTAAACAATTCTCACTTTACAAGCTAGCTTTTGGGTTGAATTAAGCTCGAATTCCAAATTCGTTTTACAATATTTACATTTTAATGTCCAATACTAGACATGCAATGTTAAGATACCACATCGATAATAAAATATAATCGAAGTAAAGCTCTTCGGCAATTCTCACCTCATGAGCTAATTTTTGACGTTGAATTAACTCAACTTAATTTCAAGATCGAAAGAAATTGAAAAGTCATATAAGCACACTTCACAATCATGACTTATAACATAATTTTGGTTTGAGACTTGTGGCTAACTTGTTCATTTATTTGTAGTTTTTAAAATTAATAAATTGATCAATAGACATAATTTATACAATATATTTGAAGTTGTCTAATTGTCTCTAAATCTTACAAATGAATACAATTTATGATTCCCGAATCAAAAACTAGCTTTATGATTAGCAATTTGAATCTTGATTTGACAACCCTGCTCTTCAGAATATAATTAATTAAATATAATATTCATCCTGGAAAAGTAGAAAGTAATCATTAGTCGCATAGTTATTTAAAATTTTACTATTGCAATCTCTTTGTATTCTCTAATTTTTTTTTAAAGAAAAAAAGAAGTATTAAATTTAATGCACTATCAATATAAGACTTTTTGAACTTCAAACCAATCCTCTATTAGTACCTTGTTTAATGAGTTTGATTGTGTTAAGAATTACTTCAGATGTCAATATTGTTAAAATAATGTGGCAATACATCATTGAAAAAAGTACAAAAGTTTTTTATCTATAGTAAATCAAAATTAAATTAAATTTATTCATAAAGAAAAAAGAATTTACACACTAATATTAATAAAAGCATACATTAACATATCTCGGAATTCGGATACAAGATACAATATTTAGTTATTTACTCCAAGAGAAAAAACTCAACATCACATCTTTAAAAAAGAAACAAACAAACAAAATCTTAAGATAAGAAGCTACAATTTTCGATGTTATTTTAAGTTTTAAAACTCCTCTAACTCCTGAATATATGTGAGGAGTTAAACAGAATTGTACGTAGCTTAAGATGAATTGTGTAAATATTTCATTTATATTGTTCTTTTTTCGTTTAGTGATCATAGAAGCAATTTGTCATACCAGTGTATTCAATTTACAACTAGCAATCATAGTTATTAATAGAGGGCTATTTCGGAGCAGCCACAGACGCTACAAAATTTGAATTGCGGATCATTTTTAAATATGGGTTGTCTTGGCCACAATAGTGGCTGTAGCAGTGCTAAAGTGAAACTTTTCCAAAAAAATCATTTTTGCCTTAAAAGAAACACTGTTTTGGAGGATTGTTTACTTTAATTGTTATTTACTTGTATGTTTTGCCTGAGAACTGTGACTTCTTATTTTTAATTATGAATATGTCATGAATTTTGAGTTTATTTTTAAAACTTTTGAACATTTATATGTATAGTATAAACTATTTAATATGTATATTAAACTTCTAAATATTGGTCATTCTACTATCTGCTATCCTGCTATAGCATTTTTGGCGGCGGCCACTACATGCTGCTATCCAAGATTGATAATTATGCAAGCAATAAGTTTAAAAAAATAACAAGCCAGGCCTTATTTTACTGTTATAAAACAATAGTTTGTGCTTCCTTAGTTTTCAAATCCTATATGGACAAACAAAAGCCATGCACAAAAAATAATGACATTGATGCAAATCATGGCAAATATATAACCAAGTAACAACTTATGTAGCATTAATTTTTCACCTGAAATATTTGTCATAGAAACATCTAAGGATCTTCCGGGGAATCCAGTCATATTCACTGGGATTAACTGCATTGGAACTACTCTCACAAAAAATTCTATACATCTCAGCCAATCTCTCCATGGTATACATTTTAACAAGTAGCTGGAAATGTAAAAGCAAAACAAAGATTTCAGATGCAGTAAATTGAAATTGTCAAAGTTAAGAGAAAACGTTTGAAAAATAATAATTTAGATTTTAGAGGTATACATACAGATTTATCACCAAGCCGCTCTGCAACAAGTTTCACAGTTTCAAGAGGGACTGCATTTGAGGTATGACATGCCACATCACAGATAACAGCCACAACTTGCTTACGAATATTTTCATCAACATCCAGCAGCCGGTCACAAAGGGCAGCTAAAATGTTAAACCCAAATAAATTCAGCAGATATGATAAAAATATAAAAAGCTGGGACTGAATAACATGTACAAGCATCTAAGGGACTCACAGATTATTTGAGGAACTTCAGCCCTTGAAGGATTTGACAGCAGACAACTCTTCACATGATTGAGGACAGACACGTGAAGCCCAAAATCTCTATCAGTCAATCTCTTTAAAAACTCCAAAAATATTGGTAGAAATGCTTCTGGAATGGAGGATCCAAGATGAGCAATTATATCGCCAACCAAGTTCACTGCTTCCAATCGAGTTTCCATCTGGTCAGCCTGCAAACGGCCAACTTACAAGTAAGAATCTTTGCATCACATCAAATGTTAATGACAGTTGACAGTATAACATTAACATGCTAACACAAGACACAATTATTTTAATAAGAAATAAAAAATGCCAAAGTGACTCTTTGTAATGGTGATATTAGAAACTGGTAGGAGGGAACCAATGATACTTCGAAGAATGAAAAGAAGACAAAGTAGTTAGTTTGGATAGCTAGAACATCTAGTCAGAGGTCACTTAGATAATAAATAGCAAAAGTAAGGATGGGAAAATCAATTAAGATTTCTTAGTTTGGGAGAACAAAGCATTAGCTCAGTTGTGAAAGGGGTAATCCTTTGAGAAAGGGATGCCCTTGGAGGAGAATCAGGATATATCTTTCTCCTTGTTCTATTTATTTTCATTCAACTATTCAAGCAACAAAAAATCATCCTTTTCATTTCTCCGTATTCTAACAGAAGGTCAAATTCCAAAGCCCTGCTATTCCCCAAAGCACGACAACACAAAATTTACACAACCAAACATCATTATAACATCAAGGTCAGTTTAACGAAAATATATTATAATTTAGAATCCACATAGAGCATCAGAAAAACCAACAAATCGGTATTTACCAGTAAAAATTGTTTAATGCTGGGTTCAAGTTTTCCAATGCATTGTTGTATAACATTCATGGAAAGCTTCCTCGCAGCTGCAGTAATATCCTGGGATTAAGAAAATCCATACAATCATGTTTCCTTCAGAATATTAGAGACAATACAAAAGACAAGATTCATCCCCCAAAAGCATTAGCTGTATGCCTATAATAGGAAAAAAATTATAAAAAAAGTATTCAACTACTTACTCTTTTGTCATGACCAAATGTTGACAGTAGAATAGATAATAGATCCTTGCGGACATCCTCACTCTCTTCCAAGAGAACAACCATTATAGTTTGCATGGATGACAGAACACTTTCTGGATGATCATCTCTAAGCATGAAACACAATATACAAGCACCACTCATTAATCCAGAGAGTTTTTGAATCAAAGACAAGTACAATACAAAATGTGACATTCAAGAAGTACTCCTTATGATCAATGCTTCAAAATTAATATCATACAAATGCATGACTCATTTCATTACATATGATTTATAAATCAAAATTAGACAATACGAAAAATTGGTAAGATGATAATGAAAAGCAGTCAACAAATCAAGAAGCAATCAATCTAAGCACACAAGGACCTCGGTTATTGTTAAAAACAAATAAAAGAATATATAAAAGGGTCATTATTCCAAAGTGCCAAGGCATTTTTGGACTAACAAGCAACTCAAGCTGAAATCCCATTAATTCACTATCCCCACACCATGGGTGATTTTCCAATTTTGGAAGGCAGAACGATTCAGATCGCAGCACAAATCGTTCCCAAGTGAAATTGGGATTTCACACCGATTTCATGAAATCCCAGGTTTGGATCCGGATCTCAGCCCAATTCGTTCATAACCTGATGGATATGGCCTAATTTTGAATGACCCAACTTATATGTTTGCTCAAACCTAAGTCCTGACCTCCTAAACTTAGCCACACCTCCTTCTTTCTTTTTTCCTTGAACCTTAGACAACATTGGTGACCGACAATGTGCGACATAGCTTGCAGCCAACCGTGACTCTATCTTTTTCAAGTTCTTTTCATGATTTCCTCTGCTCCAATCTTGCCCTGTTCTGTCCTTTGGTTTTCTTCTCATCTTTCTTTATTTTTCTTATCTTGTTCTGAGTCTGAAAATGGTTTCAAACTAGGGTGCTGGTCAAAGCTCAGGTTGTGGCATCTCTGGGTCTGTCCCAACTGCGCTCCACTGCTGCTGGCTCTTCAAGTTTATTTAAGAGCTTTTAGTGATTCAATGTCATTTTTAATTTATGCTTTTTATGTGCATAATATGAATTTATATGCACGTATAATTATATATGATTTTGTAAAATCTTAGAATTTGATTTACAATTTTACAATTTCCAATTTTCACTCCCCTTTAGGATTTGAAGTAAAATCATGATTTTAACTACCTTGTTCCACACTCTTGAACGTGGCCTGCACCTAAATTCTAACATGATATCAAAGCACATATCCAAGAGAAGGAGAAGGCCTGAAGCCCAAACAAAAAAAGAGACCAGTAAAAAAATGACAAGGCCCAAACTCAGTAAATGAAGACAGACTTGAAGCCTCTAAAACTCAAGAAAAGAAGCACAAACTCAGGCAATAAATGAAAGCAAGACCTACGAAAACTAGTCACAATCAAGTCAAGCCAGTTGGATTTGGTGGGGAGTATTTGAGAACAAATCCCACATCGGTGAGTTAGAAACAAATAAAATGGATATAAATAAGACGGTCATGAGTTCAAAGTGCCAAGGAACTTTTGGACAAACACAGTACTTCAGCAGAAAGCTCTTTAACTCACTATCCCACACTCTTAAGCATAGCCCACACATAAATTCTAATAGTTATACATAGAATAGTTGCAGATACAATAATAAGCCATGCATCACAAATGCAATATCCCAATATAGTTAAAACAATTAAAAACATGATAAGGAAGCAAGTCAGAGAGCAATAGAATGAGAGATATTAGTTTCACTATTTTAGAATTACATAATTTCCCTCTCCATTCTAAAACATTGCATTCCAAGTATACTTTCCATTCCTCTAATTATCTTTAAAGCGTTTTCTCATATTTGATGACCAGTTAAAAGAACACAGGCTCCAATACCAAGTACACCAACAAAATACCAAGTTTCTGATCTTGGAGCCAAATAGCAGAAATTGTCAAGTGAAGAATATAACTCTTCAACATGACCTCACACCTACAACTAAGTAATATGGTAAACTAACCTGGCAACTGCAAAGAAAGTACTGAACATTTCATTCACCAGATCATCACATTCAAGATCCAACATTACAACACATGATCTATATTTTGCAAGAGTCTCCAATATAACAACTCTCTGGCCAAAGGATGAGCTACATGTATCACTTAGACCACTAAAAGTGTCGACAATCAATCGAAAGATGTCCTGCAAAGTGATCAAACAAAGATTAGGATGAAGGAGACTACACTCCCAACTAAATTTCCCATCATGTTTGGCTGAAAGTAAAAGGATAATGATTATAGTTTTTAACTTATAAAGAATATGACAACCCAATTCATATTAAGAGATAACTAGCGTAAATGAAAGGCACCTTTAGAAGATCATCACTGTAAGGAGCTTCAGGAGCAGTTATCCGAGTTATCTCACAAACACATGTTGCAACTAGAAGCTTGACATCGCTATCTGGGTGCTTCAGCAATTCTGGCATAACAATTGCATTAATAAAGGGCTTAATTGACTCTAATGTTGAAGCTGATGGTGATTGATCCAAGTCAGTAAGGCATGCTGCTGCTTGCTGCAGATGGGAAAACATTATGTTGAGTAGGGAGCAAAGTGTAGGGGGAGATTAGCAGTTGTCAATCAAAAATTACTTTCAGTTTAAAAGAAAATTTGAACGATGTACAAATTACAATAGTAACATAAGTTATACTCTCTAATATTAGAAACTTTATAGCACACATTTTTCCTCAAGCATCATACACATATGGACTGTTTTTAATTGTTAACTGTAAACTTGGTTTTCTGTTTTTGGTGATAGCACCCTCATTTTGCAGTAGGAAAATGGTAAAACCATAACATGGAAATGCTATGTACTGTCCATTACAGGCAACACCTTATAGTAATTTTGAGCAAAAATAAAGAATTTTTACAATAGCTTGAACAAAATTATCACCCTTTGTTATGATTAGAATGTCCATCCATAATTAAAAGGTCCAGTAGCTACATAGCAAACAACTGCCATAATGCTATGTTGTATGTCCATATGACCAACTTAAATAGTAGTATCTAAACATGAAATGTAGTCCTAATATGCTTCTCAGCTTTCTCTCTTCATTCTGTCGATTGCTTAATCAACAAGGACCTAGGACTTTGAGACTAAACCACTATTACTAGTTACGACCCATCTGATTACAGACTTAAAGGAGCAGCACACATGTATTGAGCTACCTCAGCCTTGCACTCCCTTAAAAGAATCCTCAAAGACGATAAACAGTAACAGTGAAGGAACTAGAGATGTACAAGCCTTCCATGGGAAAGACAGAATTTGTTACCACATATGTAACCATGAAACCAGCCAGTATGCTTGGAACAGTACACGTCAACTAGTAGATTTGAGGAGAAAAACTAATAAGCCGACCATCATTCAGCAACTGTGTTGCTACATCTCATAATCCAACTCTAGTAAACAAAAGTGTCAACCTTGAATACATTTGAAAATGGAACATGGTCCCTAATTCATCCAGACATGCCCACATTCACTAAAACTAACATATTTGATTTGACAAATTCTAGGGTTCATTAAAGTGATTGATTCACTCGTTCAAAATATAGACAATAAGATAATTCTGCGAAAACTCAGTAGATTTATCCCTTTTCTTCTCGGCTTTCAAATATCCAAATGTAGACAGTTTATTGAACTTAACTAGAGCACAAGACAGTACCAATTTAACACAGTACATAGACCTAAACAATCTTCATTACCATTCACAAATTAACCTAAGTCAAAAGATGCTCCATACGTGCTTCAAATAAACCAGAGCCTCACATCAAACACAATAAATCTACGAATTGTTCTTCTAAATCACAAAAGGCGCACCAACACAGCCCAAATCCTCAATTACAAACCACCCACACAACGAAGCACAAAATTGTAACTAATCACCACATTGGAGCTCAATTCACTTTTTCCAATAGATAAATAAGCTTAACCCAGAAAAATTCTCACCGTTTTCTTCGCCTAACCTTCGCAAACAGAAATTAACAGACATAACTACCCCCCCAAAAAAAAAGTTCAAATTTTCCATTCAAAAACCAAAATTTTCAAAGCGGGTCAAACCTAACTGGAAACCGAAGCAACAAAAAATTGAAAGGCACACCTTCAAGAGCTTGATGAGAATGTTCTTAGAGGAGGGAAGAGTGTCGAGCTTGGATCCCAGCTCCTTGAGCGTAAGGTGAGGCTCCTGAGCCATGTTTTCGTATCAAAAGAAAACGACGTCGTTTTAGTGCTGCACGTGCTCTTTCATGGAATTTGGATGAGGCTTGAGCAGAAGAAGAGAGTGAACTAGAGAGGGTTTTCGTTTCTCTTTCTCTCTCTCTATCTTATTCTTGTGTCGTTGAGTTGGGGCTTTTGATTTTCGAACTACGAGGCCAAGTCCACTCCAAATCCAAATCTATGCCAAATTTCACGCGCTGACGTTTTTCTTTTGCAGTCATGCCCTCTGCTTTCTTTGAAACTTCCCCTTTGGCATCTTGTGTTATTTTCAATTTCACCCTTGTAGTTGTCATTTCTTTCAAAGCAGGCACAACAGACAATTTTAATGAAGTTAACATGTTTTAGCAAATGAAACTGAATGCTCTATTTACAGTTTGTGGTTAATCTGCTTCAGTTGCTTTCAACACTGTTCCTTTCTCTGAAGACTCGAGTTTCTGTTTAAACTTCATATGATGTCACATAACTGTTTGCAGTTTGCTCATCAACTTTATAGAAATAGCAATCAGTGTAACGTCTTTTTTCTTATCACATGGCTTTTTCAATTTTTAATTTAAGGCTAATTCATTATTTGTATTAAAAAATAGTAGCAACATGATTGTTAATATTTTTGTAAACTTATATTCTATTATAAAAAACTATTTATAGTATTACATGTTAAATTATTGTCATATGAATAAATATATCTAAGCAATTATTCTATTAGCACGAAACTCATAATAACAAAAATTATTTAAATAAAATCGTTTTATCAATCAATATTTAAATTTCTTCAAATAATATTTAATATAGTAGAATATCAGTAAAATTAATTAATTAAAATAATTAATTTTTCTTTTTTATGTATAAATATACCAATATTTTACGGGATAGTTATTCGCACTGTAAGACTCAAGGAAAGTAATCCATGACATTAATTCAAACCTAAATTAAGCTTTTTAAACATTGTAAGAAAGTTATAACAAAATATTTAGTAATGCATTTCGAAGAATAATTTTATAATATTTTAACTGTTTATTTTATAGTTGAATAAATAAAAATTAATATTGATGTGTATTATTAGCGTAACAATGGAACATAAGCCAACATCATATTAAGTGTCGTCTATTTAACATGAATTACTCGTCTACGTGTAGTGTAACTAACTACATTAAGTAACGTTTATCCAATAGAAGTTGTTCATATGCATATTAAGGTTGATCAAGGAAGAGTTACTTTCATGTTTCGTCGTATCGCTTCCTTGTTAAGTGACATATTTTCAAAACAAGTTTTGTAATATTTGTATGGTTCATTTTATTTACTTTAATAAATTATTTCAAAAATATACTATTATAATATTTTGTTATGATTTTTTGCCTACAAAAGTTTTTAAAAGCCCTAAATTCTATAATAATAAAAACAAATAAATTTTGAAAAAAATAAAAATTAAGAAAAAAAATTAACACAAAAACAATACATTTGTGCGTATGAATAATTGCTCTTTTACTCGGTGTATGTGTTTTTTTATAAAAAACAAAACAAAACTTTTAATGTTTCTAGTAATTATTAACTATCTATCTTAGCTGATTTTTCTTTTTCTATTTCTTATTAATGTAAAAAGTTTGAATCAATATTTTTATAATATTAATTACTCCTAAAGTATAAATAAGTTATCTAAAATTATTTATTTATATTTATTTGCAATTCCAAAGTTTTAATGAAACTCTATAAAAAGAGAGAAAAATTTAAGTAATTTTTATTTATTTTTTAGCGCAAACTATCAAATGTTAATTAAAATATTTATTTCAATTAAGTCCTTATTTAAAATGTCTTGTGAAAAGTTTATAGAAGTAATCTATATGTCTATATATATAGATATTTGAAACTTATGTTAACAAGTTATTTAATATAACTTATAAGAGTAAAAATTTTTAGACTAAAAAATTTTATGTTTAATTATATAGTATAAGCTATTTTTATTAAATAAATATTCAATTAAAGTACACTTCTAGATACACTGTAAAACTCTTTAAAGCTCACTCATCTGATTAGACAAAGGCCAAATAAGAGACCTTAAACTTAAACTTTAATAAATAGGTAAAAACTCAAATAATTTATAAACAAAAAAGAATAAATTTGCCTTGAGTAACACAAAACTAGATCACCACAAGTTGTTTTATTATTTTGCTGACAAAACTTATTCATCCATATTAAAACTTCAACCAAATAGTTGATAAGGAATTTTAAGCAATAATAGCTTCACTTTTAGCTATCCTAGTATTACATTAAGAGAGAGAATTTTTTTTTTTCCGATCATTTTTACAAGACTCGTTCAATTAGATTATACAAATTAATAAAAATAATTATAGTAATTATTTTGTTTTTATTTATAGAATATCATAATAAAATAATATTATCCCATTTAATATTATTGAGGTCACTTTTAGTATGTTATCCTTATTAATTTTAGTTTAAATTTTTACCAATTTTCATTTATTACCAGCAAATAAAAGTATATTAACTGTTTCAAAAATTATAAAATGCCTTATAAAAAATAAGAATTTCTAAAAAAGTATTAACTAATAATTATTATAAGATGCTCTTGATTTAAATTAGAATTTTAATTTTAATTAATTAATGTTAGAAAGCAACTATAAATATTCTAATTAGCTAAAAAATAAATTTAAAATATGATTAAAATATTCTTTTAACACATGTCTGAATATATGTTGAAATTTACTCAACACGCGTTCAAATTTTCAATAAATTTTATTCATTTTAAAGGTTAGAAGTATATTTGATTATCCAAAAGTTAAAAAATTTCACACTACAAATAAACTTAAACGTATAATAAAAACTTTTCCATTCAAATTTCTCAAACATGAATTCAGCGTGTGTTTGAAATGGTTTGTTTTCGTTGATTATGTGAAAAAATAATTCAAAATTATGTTATTTTTTATTTACAATCTTTCAAAAAACAGCTTATAATTTTTAATTTTATTTAAAATATTACGATAAAAAAAAGCACCAACGTTTTTTAGCTAAATTTTCTTTATATTTTATCCTTAGTAATTGACTATTTCTAATATAAATTAATTATTACATAATTTTATATTTTTTCTAATTTTATCCTTAAACAAAATAAATTAATTTAAAATCATTTTCATTTAATATATTTAAGATAAAAGCTACCGTTAGTTAATAAAGTAAGTGACTTATAAATAAATTAGCAAAATAATCCACTATAACATGTTATAAAAATTTAAAATTTAATTTTTAATAAATTTTTGTTTAAAGATAAATGTATTTGTCAAAAAATAATAAATAATTATGAATAAATTATTGAATTGTCGTCCAGTAAAAATTGTTTCAATTACTAAAAAATTCTTAATTTGATTGTTTGAGCTTAAAGATACGAATTTAAATAAAAAATAATGATTAAAAATAAATTAATTATCAATTAAATTTAGAACAAGTATAGTAACACACTTTTTGATTAAACTTACAATAGATAAATCTAGAGCATATGAGTTTATTGATTCAATCATTTATGTTATTCTTTTATTTGACTCTAAATTTGATTTTCTTGATATTACTAATCATTCATACAAATACTCTCAATAACAAATGGTTATGTAAGGTAATATTAATATTACATTATTTAAATTAACATTTACAATGGTGATGCAAGATATCAATTTAAGAAAGCATAGAGTATCTATGAAATTTTTAATTTAATAATAACTTGAAAAAAATATTGTTTAATCCATCTAATCCTTTATCTCACTTTGTCTTATAGATCAATTAACTAATCGATGTACGATCACTAATCACGAACACTAATTCATGAACAATTATGCGTAAAGGACAAACAAAAATCAAACTTATATTCAAACATTAAAATTCCATAAATTTATTAACAATAATTTTCACAATCCTAACTATGGAAAAAAGAAAAATTGAGCATGAGAATAATTCTAAGTCTTTAAGTACGACCACTCAAAGTTTTAAATTTCACCAATAATGTGTGAGAGACCTTATGAGAAAATATGTGCGAAGGATGAGATAAAAATGTGTATTCACTCCCATTATTCTTGTGATTCCTTTAATAAGGTTTGAAATCCTAAAAGTTAGGAGCCATAGGTAAGCACGGATTTGCAAGTCCTATGTTGGATGCTAGGATCTGGGCGTGTTGATTGTTGCAAAACTCTATTTTTCAACCAATTTAGACCAAAAATGCTTATAAATCCAACTGTAGCCTTTTAATGTTAAACTGCATAATATATATATATATATATATATATATATATAAATTAGTTTAAAACTCAATTAAAATAAAAGTCAAACATAAATATATTGATTATAAAAATGTGCTAAAATACAAACTTATCAATTTAACAAGTAGATTTTAATCTCTTGTATATTTAAAACATGTCTTCCTTTGACATTATTATTTTAGGGCAGGTATCATTTAAGAAAAACATAATTGTTTATTCATATAAAACTATTTCATATTCTTTCAAACTCACTTTTATCGTTATTTTTGAAGCAAATTCAAGAATTTGTTTTGTGTTTCCAATATAACTTTAAACAATAAATTGAGTGAATATGGTTGAAATCTACTTAATAGAAATCGAAAAAAAATATCTAATGAAATCAGGTAATCCTCTGTTAAAATATTATTGTAAAAGTTTTGTTCAATTTCTCCTTCTCCTATTTCAATTTCTCCTTATTTTCCCTTCCTATTAATAGTATCCAAAAGTTTATCATAAACCCTAAACTTACATATTATTATCCCTTTAGATTATGATCGTTGTAAATTTGAAAATATTATATATTCATCCCAATTATCTTAAAAATTAACACTTTAGAGGGACAATGACTAAAGAGATTCTGTTAAACCAGAAAAAATACAAGAAATTTATTCGTTGTAATTTTCTCTTAAGCTACCATTATCCGCTTAAGCAAAATTTAGATAGTGATGAACTAACAAATTTTATCAAATTTCGCTTAAACACTCATACACTTAAGCAAATCAAAAACAGAGATAAATGTAAATTTTTTGTCAAAATTAACTTAAGCTAACACCCATTAACTTAAGCAACGATAACTTAAGCTAATGTCGCACTCTATTGCATGACTTAAGCGGTTTATGTATCACTTAAGTGAATTACCTCCGTTAAGTTATTTTTTTTGTAATTTTTGCTTAAGTTAGAAAAATTGACTTAAGCGAATGTTGCAAAAATATTGCAATGCAAAAGCAAATGTTGTGTAGAAAAGACATAAGAACGATCTAAAAGAGTATTGAATAATGTATCGATATAAATTTTCACTTTTATGATAAATTGAGACTCTAAAAGTGGATATGAAAATTTAATTTTAAAAATTATTAACTTTACAAATAAGGATTGTGAAGATGTTTACGATGAAAATTGTAGGTAGTAAACAAATAAATTCTAGAACAATTTAGGATTAAATTTTAGATTATTTTGAGTTCTTTTAAGTGTATTCTCAACGCAATAGTAAAATCAATGTCGTAAAGTAAATAATTAAGTAGAAATAGTATAAGAACAATGAAATAATATTGAACTAAATGTAAGGGATTACAAAAACAAACTGGAATGAAATCTAATGACTGGAAATAAATTGTAGAAATGTAACGTACAACTTATACCCGTTGTCCCCAAGAATGTAAAGATTAGTACCATTTATAAACAAATTGAGCTTAACTGCTTCCCCTTCTTTCACAATTGTCTTTTGATAACTGTCTTACATGTGTGTTTTCCTAATAACTGTTGCCACTTGTGACTGTACCATTTTCATATCTGCTATTATCCACGATGAACTCCATGTGCCTATGATCTCTAAGCCTTGCAGTTTTTTGATATGTTTCTTTACTTTTTGGACCTTATCTATATATTTTTTGATAACTTAGTAGCTAAGTTTGTTGAAGATCCCTTTTTTTTTTACTATTTTTGGGTGTGTTCAATTTGAGGCTTTAACCTTAAAAAAAAACTTCTTAAAATATTTCCCTTTCAACAAAACTTGAAGTATGTCTTGAAATGATGAAAACTTCTCGAAATATGTCATTTTCATCATAGAGTTTAAGTTTCTCATCTATTAACATAAAAATGTTTTGAAGGACAATTCTTTCTATAGAATTTCAAACTTTTGAGGTATTTTCTGCAACTCCATAATTACTCAAAATATAGGTGTTTAAAATTTTATTATTTTTAATCAAAATTGTCTCTATGCCAGTAATTCTTGATGTAATTTTTTCTTCTTAAAGACATAGACTATTCTTTTACCATGAAGTTTAGTATCTTTATAATTTAATAAAATTTTTATTTCCTTGAATATGACACATAACATTTTATTAATTTTAAAAATTATTTTTAATTATAAATTAAAATTGTTTCTAAATGCATATTTTCGTAAAATGAGATTTGAAAATCTAAAATACACAAGTGTAAAGAAAAAACGACAATATTATTTTAAAGATAAAAAACAACACAATTTAAAGATACAAAATAATATATTTTAAAAGTTTAAAGAATTTTTTTTATAAATAATTAAATAATAAATTTATATTATTAAGTTATTGATTAAAAATCTGAATCATTTATAAATTTTTAAATATATCAAATGATTTAAAAATAATTTAGACTATCATAACTTACTTTACTAATTCACATTAATCTTAACCTATATTTTAATATAATTTTCATTTCACGCAATAATAATATATATGACCAATTAATAATTTTTTTTTTCACTAATCCAAAATACACACTTACTTTACGAAGGATTCTTAAAGGAAGTTTGCTTACTTCAGGACATTGTAACCGTTTCAGTTTATAATTTTCGAAAAGAATAAATAAATATGAGCACATAAAATTGTACGAAAAATAAATAGAGCAGTTTCGCAGACAGTCTCCATCAGATCCCTAATCCGAGCAATGCCGGAACTGCCACCACACGGCGGCGGGGATGCCGGAGCTCCACCGCATATGTCGGAAGAGGAGAAGCCTCTAAATGACCAAAACGCCGTCGATAAACCCGACGCGAATCCTCCAGTTCTTTCAAAGAATGCACAGAAGAAGCTGGCGAAGCAGCGGCGATTCGAGGCGAAGAAGGCAGAGAAGAAGAAGGCGGCGAAGGAGCAGAAGCAAAGAGATGCAGAGAGAAAGCGAAAGGAGTGGGAAGAGAGCCTCGCCGGAGTTTCCGAAGAGGAGAGAGCGAAGCTCGTAGAGTCTCGAAGGACCCTCCGCAAAGAGAGAATGGATAAGAGGTCGCAGGAGAAAGAGAGCAAGAGAGAGAGACTCTCGTTAGCCAGAGAACAAGGCCAAAACGTCGTCGTTGATCTCCAGTTCTCTCATCTCATGAACCCTAACGAAATCCACAGCCTCGTTCAGCAGGTTCCTTCCTCAACTCACTTACACTGTGTTAGTAAAACCTGTAAACGTGTATTCGAAGTAGAAGTTATAACCAATAGCGTTGAAGTAAAATAGATCTATGCACGTGCAATTGTGAATCCAAACATAATATTATTGCACGTTTGGAAACGCGTTTAAAATCATCTTAACAAGGATCTAAAGCAGAAGCTACAATTAGTGTAAACGTGGACACCATTCAAAAGTAAATTCAAACACTTAATTTGTACTTGAAAAAAACGTTAGAAACCAGGAAAAACGTGAATATAGCGTAAAAGTTATAGCTAATAATGTTGAATTAATATCTATCTATGTTAATTTGAATATGAATCCAAACATGCTATTAGTTGATTATGTTGCGTCATTGCTTGTGCTAACTAATTGTGAATAATGGAATTTTTGTTCGTTGTGATTGGATCAGCAGATTATGTATTGTTATGCAGTGAATGGAAGGTGTGCTTCCCCTGCTCATCTTTGGCTCACTGGCTGCGGTGGAGAAATGGAGAACGGATTGAAGCGGATTCCAGGGTTTGATAAATGGATAATTGAGAAGGAAAATAGGTCTTACATTGAAGCCTTGCATGATCGTAAGGAGAATTTGGTTTATCTCACGGCAGATTCGGACACTGTTCTTGAAGAACTTGATTTGAAGAAGATTTATGTTATTGGTGGGTTAGTGGATAGGAACCGGTGGAAGGGGATAACCTTGAAGAAAGCACAAGAGCAAGGAATCCAAACGGCTAAACTCCCTATAGGAAGTTTCATGAAGATGTCTAGTTCTCAGGTATTGTTCATCTTAGAGAATATGTTATACTTCCGCGTGTTGATTTTATCTCTGAATGCTTTCATTTATACAAATTGATCTCTGAGGGATGAAATTGTTTACAAAATCACTAGATGATGTGATGAACTTGTTAGCGAGTTGACACTTTCAGAACTGTTGAAATAATTTGTATGCTATTTGAATTTAATATTCAATTGAGCCTCTTATGTCCTGTTCATGTAGCATGGAAGGGGCATTTCTAAATTTAAATTATTGCACATCTTGTGCCACTGCACTTAGTTTTCCTTTTCTTCTTTTTGTTCAATTGATCCTGTCATCTGCAGCTACTAGTTAGTTTGTGTTTTGTGTTGCAAATCATAGTCAATTTTCACCTTCGGTGCACAAAATTTGTTCAAAGGATAATGCTGTTCTAAGTTTTCAGTCTGACAAGTTGTGTGCAAACAGAGAACTTGTTTCTTCGGGTGGGCTCTTTTGCCCTGCAGAGTCTTCTGATATCTGACAAGTAAATTTTATTTTGTATCATAACTCATGTTATTTGTAATGTGAGCTTTCAGGTTCTTACTGTGAATCAAGTGGTAGAAATACTACTCAAGTTCTTGGAGACAAGGGATTGGAAAACATCTTTCTTTGCTGTTATCCCGCAACGGAAAAGATTTCAAGTCGATTCAGAAGGAAATGCAGAAGATGAAATAGAGAAAGATGAACAAAATGATGATCTAACAGCAAGTAAAAAGAAATGTGTTGAGGAGGTCCCTTGTAACAGTTAGAATTGTCAATAGCTCAAAAGTATATTTTCCTGGCCATTGCATGGAGTGTAAAACTCAACCCAACACATCATGACAGAAGTTTCTAATCAGAGCTACATGCACACTTCATACTTACATAGGGAATTAGCATAATTTTTGTATGTTTTTTTAACAATCTGTAACGGGATTTTTCATCGGGTATTGCTCTGAAGTACTTCTACGAGATATACAAATACCTCTCTGATGACCGTGGGATTTTTGGAATGTTGCTCTTCGGCTTTTGGATTCATTTGCTGTTGTATTTGATTCAGTACCTAACTTTAAACTTTTTTTTTTTTAATTTTTAAATTTATGAATTGCGATTCAGCAATTCTTTGCCCCAAAAACTGTTAGAAGCTGCATTCGTCACTCTCAAAACCTACAACTCTTATCTTGGAGCATGTCAGTAAGATATTTTTTATAAAGTTTATAGTTATTATTTTTTCTTTTATTTTCCCTTTATAAATACATTTATAATTATTTTGTGATAAATATGATATTAGAGTTTGACTTTAAATAGGGATAAATTTAGAATGTTGTAATAATTTCTTCAAAAGTTAATATATTAACTGACTTTAATAACTTCTCTTAATTTGTGTAATTTAGTTAAATTTGATTGGAGGAAGTAATAGTTAAAATGTGCACTGAAAAATACATACATGTTAACTAGTATCTTAAGAGTACTAGTTAGGAAATTAAAAGTTATCTTTTTATTATGAATTGTAATGCTGTATTTCTTGTTATTTTTAATGCACTTTCAACGTAATTTTTAATAACAATATTCTATTAATTGGTTTTTTTAACTAACATTTTAAAAGCATTATTAGTAAGATTGAAAGAAAAAAGTTCATCAAATGTTTGAGAATTTTATTCATTTTAGAGTATAAATTATTAAAGAATGATTTAAATGCGTTGTCAGTTCCTATAAATAATGATTAGTGAATTTTATTTTGTTCTTGCAATTATTTCTTCATTTTTAACTTTTTGTTTTTAGTTAGATCAATTGCTTGTTAAATAGTTATGGCCAGATTAATAGATGTGTACGCCCTGTTAAGTTCTATCATGTGTATCAATTAATCATATATGTTAAATAAATTCACACAAATTGGGGTTTTATTATTAAGTTTCTTAAAAGATCATTTTTATATTTTCTCGTAAATTAGTTGCTTGTGTGACTTTTTTAACATGTATAATAAGATAGTACATATGATAGAATTTACCTGAACATCAGTTAATTAAGTCAGTAACTACTCAACAACAAATTAATGACAAAATATGAGAAAAGAGTTTAGAAAAATCAAGAATAAGAAAATGTTATAGAGATAAACAAATTAAACTCAATATGTTTGCAAAAACTAAAATTATATAAACCTTAAAAAATACACTCAATAGACCAAATCAACCTGCCAAGCAGAAATCATCTGAACTTTCCAGTAATGGAAATCTTCTTCCGTTATGGCTTTAATTGAACTTAAGTTGTGTGTTTATTATTAACTCTCATTATAACTGTATTTTTAATGGGGGAAATACACATTGAATAATATTAAAAATGATTTTTTATTTTCTTTTTTGAATTTTTCTAGCAAAAATTACTGGGGACTAGACATTACTTTGCTTAACACATATTCATGTATTATTACAATATAAAATAACTATATTCAATTTTCTGAATTTCTCTAGCAATGAATACGCCTTGTTTGCCTCTCATCTGGCCTCTCATCTGATGCAATGTATTAATCAAGACGAAATATGAAACTAATAAAGGATTTATTTATTTATAATGTAAAGAGGTTTGTAATATTTTGATGCATTAATTAATTTCAATTTAAATTTTTTTAGAGTAATTTTTCCCTTATAAAAACAATGCAATGAACTTAATCAGACTAGCCAATGCCATTTAAGAGTCTATATAGTTCCATGTCTTTAATTAGATTTGTTTTATTTTATTTTGGAAGGGAAGGGTGGTTGCGGTGGAGGTTCTATACATGTAGTAATAATATTTCTTTCAGTTACATTAATATTTTTTAGAAAATTTTTAATGAAGGTAAAGAATGGGAAATGGTTCATTTTAAATCAAAGAATATACATAAATTAAATCTTAAATAAAAAACATTTTTCCTTTACTCCCTTGCTCAAATATCTAAATAAGTAGGTATTAACTACTTTTTTTAATTTTTTCCTCATGCTTCCTTTCTTTCTGTCTTCAAACAATTTTTTAAAATTTCATTAGTTTTCTGATGTAAAATACTAGATAACTAATAGAATTTTATGTTAAATGAGTTGACATTATGAATGATAATAAAAAAAAGAGTTGACACTGATTTTAACTATTAAATATAAATACCTCTCATTGTTTTATTAAATTCTGGCTGAATTTTATCAAAATTTTCTAATTACCTATGAATTTTTTAAAACTTTATAGAAATAGTATTTGTCTCTCTCAAAAGAATTCACAACTTTACCTATTTTATATGTGTATGTGTGCTTATATATTATGAGAATACATTTTATTTTAAAATTATAAGTCTGAACTATTCAATCATATGTGTGTATATATATATATATATATAATTAAATAAGATTAAGTGAATTTATTTTTAATTATTACTTTTATTCTATATTTATGATTTTTATTTAACATAATAATAAAGTATTTTCACATAAATATTTCTTATGCGTGCGTCTATGTGCTTGGGTAATTAATGCAATGAGCAAATGACATGCCTAATTGACAAAGTTGAGATCATAATTTTTCCTGTCTATTTATATTATTAGTTTTAACTTTTGTTAATCATTGATAATATTGTTTTGGCGAACCAAAAAGATTTATGGCATTGAATATATAACGATTTTCGTTTGGATACATGGCATACATGTGAATCTTTAGGTGGATTTTTTGTGATTTATTTTTAATTTATTACTAAACGAAAAATTTGCAATTAAAAAATTAATTTATATATATGTATAATTTATAGTAAACTATCATAGCCACCTCACCTAGTAGAAAATGACCTGTTATTGTATTAAATATGAAAATTTTCTGAATAATTTGTTGTAACATCTTAAAAAAATAACAAATTTCACACCAATGAATGATATCATTAATTAACATAAACATTTATAATATAACAAAAATAAAAATTTTGTGCTGCAAACATCTATCTGGTTAATACAAATCCTCATATCAATTACTTAAAAGAGCAACTAGATAGTTAATATTCTAAGAATCAAAATTTAAATCTACACAAAAATTGTTTGATTAAAAATAAATACATGCACATTTTGATTTCATGTATTGTATTACCTTCTATACTGAATGACAATCCATAGTTTTAGACCAAAACCAGGGGAAGGGTAGTCCTGTTTAGAATATTGTTTTTTTGCCAAATCTGTCTCCCTTAGGGAATAACTGATCTAAGTTTAAGGTAACATATTTAAGTTAATGGTTCTTACCCCAACCTAAATACAACAATCTATGTACAGTCAATTTCAATTAGGATTCCTGAATGGAAAATAATGGTTTCCACTTTAACCATTATTTCCTTAAATATTACATTTTATTTTGTTACCCCTCAAATATGATGAGTCTAATTTTTCATACCCTTTTGGAATTCCTTATAAAAATCATGTTATGAATGAGCCATAACACACCTTTCTGCAAGATGAGTGATTGCAGCAGCTTCAGGGATAACAGAGCTTTGGCAACAGTGTTGATGGTCTTGCTTTTGACATCATCTATAGGGATGTTCCCTTATTTTATGACCCCAGAACCTCCCATTTTCATACTACTATGGTTATGTTTTATCCCTATTTTTGTTCTATTTTATGCCTTCTTCCTCGTAGTTTTTGTTTGGTGACATCAATTATCAAGCATTCGATTGAAGAGACTGAGGAGGATTCTCCACCACAATTCATGTTTGCAACTACACCTGGTAGAGAGTTTTACTGTTCTAGTTCTTTCCTTGTTCGGGAAAATCATGGAGATAAAACATGTGAAACAAAAGAAAATCAAATCATTTTCTTTTGAAGATTCCCTCTGTTGACACAAATTTTTAGAGCTTAGTGATACAATTTGAAATATATATTGTTACTATTCTGTTTTATGTATTTTTATTTAAATCATATATTTTTTTTTGTAAAAAAGATAAGATAATTATAAATGATCATTTTATTTATTTAACACAAGTGCAATTTTTAAGTTTACAGTCTAATTTTTTTTTTTTGTTTATATTGTAGTTGTTCAAAAAGATGAATTTTTATGTAGTGCTTTTTTTTTAAAGACAATTTGTATACAAATTTAATAGAATAGCGGGCTGTTTGTTTTATATTTAAAAAATATATATATTTTGCCATTTTTAATAAAAATACTCATTTTAATAAAAATATATAGATCAAATTAATTCTTACAGTTATAATTATATTTAATGACTCAAAATTAATTTTATAAAAATAAGTTTTATACATCTGTATATTAAATAATTATTAACTTTTAAATTGTTTTAAAATTGAACAAGTCATAAATGCCAAACTACAATTCACATAAAGTCTAATTTAGATTAACTTTTAGACAATTTTTATATGAAAAAAAACAATATAAAATAAATAATTTTTTATAAATTAGAAATAATTTACACTTATCTATTTTTTTAAAAATCTCAAAAAAATTACTCATTTAATTTTTAAAAATTTTAAGAGATAAGTTGTTTTTAAAACCAAAAATTTATTTATTTTTTATACTTTTTTTTATAAGAAACTTCTTTAAAAATTCACTCAAATTCAATTATAATATATTAAAAAAAAGTACAACTAACATTCATATTTAAAAAATTTATTAAGTTCATGCTTTAAGCAAATTATAGGCTTTTGGATTAATTTAGGAAAATTTTACAAATAATTTATAAAAGATGCAAATAATTTATTGATTTAAGATATTTCTATTGTTTGACAACACATGTTGCACTTGATATGAGAAATAAAATAAAAATGTTACGTTGACAATTGCTGTTGAATGCACTTTCTTGTAAAAGTCTGCTGATTGATCGTGATGTTCAAATTGATGATATAATTTATTATTTCTATAATAGTTTAGAGGAACTTCTAAGTCATTTATTTTTAAGGTGTTCAAATTCATCTCAAATCTGGTATTTTACTGTGCATTGACTTGAATTTTTACTGGTTTTGCCTTAAGATTTATCGACTCACTTACTTGCTTGAGTTGATGTTGGTTGTAGTAAAAGAGAAGAAATATATTTATTAATTATCTAGATAAGTACAGTGTGGTCTTTATGGTTATATAAAAATATAATAGTATTTTTAAATGATATTTTAGATGAAAAAAAAGTTATAAATTTTATTATTCTGAGGTCCTAAAAGTGGTTATTACTTGTTAGTAAGTGAGGAACTATTTTATTAGCTAATTAGTATCTGAACCCATGAAATTACATTTCTCTTAGTGTAGCATGAGTATGTTTCTGTTTTTTTATTTTTCTGTGTAAGTGTTGATTTTTTTTTATTTATAGGTTTCGAGTTCTTCTTGAATTTTCTCTAATAATAAATATTTTGTCTATAAAAAAATAAAATATTATGTGTCAAAATAATTTAAGAACCAACTTAATTTTAAAAAATATTTTTAATAATTTTTATATAAATATTTAAAAATAAAAATAGTAATTTTATAACTTTAGAAAATTTTAAACTGAATACCCCTTTTAAGTGTTTTATCACTTGTATATGTAAAATACTTCTAATCTAATTTAATAATATCCAAAGGAAATTTTATCTTAACTCTTCCATTTGAATTTTGAATGTAAATTTTGACTTTCCTATTTATATAACATGCTTCTTAAATTCTCAAGACTATCGTGCATTATCCTTTGATTTTTTAACCTCTTTCTTAAAAGTTTTTAAAGTTTATTTCTTATTTTTGTTTTACCATATTATTCATTATATTTTGTATTTTCTATTTTTCTTCCATCTCAAACCATACACTGATATACCCTTAAAAATCCTAAAAAAAAAAAACCTAAAACTTAATTAAAATTACATTTTACTTCAATTGTCAATCATTGACGAACAGTTATATTTATTTATTTATATAGAAACCCTTAATTTATATTAAATGATTAAAAATAATTTTACATAACTATTGGGCCTGTAAAATTATTAATATTTACTTTTAATTTTCATTTAATTTATATATATATGTATAAACAAGGGTCGTTTCAAGATGTATATGAATGTCTTAAATACTAGATGAAATTGTCTCTCTATCGTCTTTCCGTTCAAAATCGAAACCCTTGATTTTATATCTAAGTAGTTTTAATTCCTCCCTTATGCGTGGAATTATTAAATTAATTTTATTTATAATAATTAATAATAATTTTTGAATAAAAATATAGATTTTATTGATAGTTTTTTAATTAAACTATAAATTTAATTAAAACATATTAATAGTGTAAAATATTTTTATATTATTATTTAATCACATTTTATTATATTAATAAAATTATTTTCTTAATAATTAAAGAGAAAAAAGTTTGAATAAATAAAATAATAATTAAAAATAAAATTTTAATTTTACTTTATAATTATGAAATAGAGATAGGACGATACTTAAAGAACATGGATAAAAATTTTATATAATTATCAACGTCAAACATTACAAAAATTATATAAAAATAATCATAATATTTTAAAACATAAAGATCTATGAAATTTTAATTTTTTTTGAGAAAATAAAAAAAATTGTTTTATCAAAAAAATTTATATTATAAATGATTTTTTTAATTATTATATATATATATATATATATATATATATATATATATATATATATAATAGTTGAAGGAGCAGAATTGTGAGAATAAGGATAAAATTGTGACCAAAATTATAAATGGAAGTATTTTGTACAAAAAATAAATCACTCCCTTTTAAAGTTTTTCACGTTATATTTTTTAATTTTATTTTAATTTTGTATTAAATTTTAAGATAAAAAGCTGTTATTCAACCTTTTAAAAATCATTTTTATAAAATTTCAGTTTTTGTAAACATTTATGTTTATTTTTATAATTTTTTTATTAACTTACATAAACTCTTAAATTTTTGCAAATATTTTTATTTATATATTATTTATAATACTTAATATATTATTTTTATCATTTTAAAATAAATTGTTTTAAATTTATTGGAAATTTATTAAATTTTTATCATTTTGATACTTTGATAAATACTATTAGTGATTATAGAGTTAAGTTAAAATGATTTTAAAAAAATGTTAATGTTTAAAATAATTTTATCATATATTGTATACATGTTTATTTTAAAATAAACTATATGAATTTACATTATAGTTGGAAAAAAAAGAGTAAATAGATAGATAGACAGTTGATATAAAAAGTTTAGCTATAAAAAATATTGGCTTAGATCTTATATGAAAAAAAAGGATGGAGAAGATCTAAATCCCTGAATGCTCTTATATGTACAAGTAACTTTTCCTTAATCGATTTATTTTTTATCTATTAAAATTGGTGTTAGATAGATTTTAGGGTTCATAACTTTGTCTTCCGTTGTAAAAAGTAGAAAGATAGTGTGAAGCAGTATTCAAATACAGTGAGAGGCCATTCTTATTGCCACTTCTTTGCAATGTTCACTCACAACAAGCTTATGATAGAATGATATCCCAACCACTGCTGATTAACACTAAAGAGTATCCATTTATTTTGGTAGATAAATTTTCCAAAATTTATTTAGTTTTTAATTAATATTTTTTATAAAACATTAATCACTTATTTAAGATATTTTTTGGAGCTTATAATTAAAAGTTGTTATATTATTTGTAGTTCTAATTTTTTTATTTTGTCCTTCATAATTAATTATTTAAATATGAAACTAATTATCGGACATTTCCTTCTTTCTATTACTGGTTTTAATATTTTAAGTTAAAATAGCCTACTAGACAACTTTCCATTTAAAATAAATTGTTCGAATACATAGTATTTAAGAGATCAATGAAATGACAAAATGAAGTAAATTTTTTGAATCTGTCATTGACGTTATAAAAAACCATGCATTTTTAGTATATTTCACCATATCGACATTAATTAATTAATTAATTTCTCTTCCAATTACTGATTTTCTTCCATTAATTATGTTTTATAGATATGGAATTATTAACTATCCTTTAAAAGTTCGTACACATCTATTTGTGAAAAAGCATGATGGATCTGTGACCCATCAAAGAAAGTTGAGACTGTGTTCCACTGTGTTGTTTGATCGCCAACACCAAACGTTGCCATTGCCACCCGGTGCTCTAATCTTCACCAACCAACACCATTTCACCTTTCAAACTTTATATATAGGCCATGCCACAGTGCATATATAACTGCTTCATATCTTGCATTTCATAAACTTGCTTGATAAGTATAATCTTCAAAGGCTTAAGCACTTTTCTTGGGTGAAAAATGATGAAGCAACCTGAAGTATGGGGCCATGGTTCCATTGCCATTTTTATAACTATTGCAGCCATACTTGTGTTTGGTCCATTTGTGATGAGTCCTATTTCACCACCAGGAATCCCTTTGCTTTTGGTGTTTCCGGTGGTTCTTGCGGCCATTGTGATCTTTCTCATCGTATTCTCCAACTGATGACTACACCATCTGCATGATTCTTCATCCATGGTCACCAATTATATCCCTAGTACTTATATGTATGTATTTGTTGGGTTCTGTTTTGTTGAATATTATATTATGAGTTTTTTTTTAGTTATGATTAAGATGGTACGTAGGAAAGGCAATTGTATTTGTAATATTTTGTGTTCTATGAGGATTATTCTTTATGAAGCACATATATGGTGAACAAATTATATAAATACCGTGTTCAATAACTTTCAGCGCAATTAAATCTTTTTTCTGATTTTGTTGTTGTTGTTGTTGTGTGGGTGCTTCACATATTTTTCTGTGAAGTTTCAACTCTATAGTGTGATAATGCATATATATGATATTTGGCTGTGTCGAACACAATTCCAACGTATTTCTCGTTAGTTTCAAATTACTATACCGTTACGCGCTCTGTTAATGTTCTTATGGTTTAAATCAATCAGAGTGCCCCTTTTATCTCTTTCTCTCCCTCGTTTCACGAGGAACCAAATCCTTGAAAGATTTCCATTCCCCCCTCTTTGAATTCATTTGCTTTTGCCCCATTTTGATTAACTGTATGCATAAAAGAATGACAAAAGGTATTTATAATTTTCTTCGTAATTTTGTTATCGAATTCTCGAAAGATTGTTTTTTTCATGTAATTAAGGTTTGGGAGAATTGTGGATACAAGACCCAAAATAGATATTCCGAAGCGTTTTTATGGGGTGGGTCATCTGCAGGTTTGATAATACCCACTCTCACATAAGAAACACATACATTAAGGAAACTAGAAGTCCCAATTGACGGGCATTTAACAATGTGGCTGTTAATTCAACCGTAAAAGAAGGACTGTGTTGTCTTTATAGAAACAACTTACATAATATAATATTATTGTGCGGTTCATATATATATATATATATATATATATATATATATATTTGATAATTTAAAATTAATTCTATTAAATTTCAAACCCTATTTCAATGGATTCTATGTCTAAAACCCTGTTAAATGGGCTCTGAGGAATAAGATGGTATATGATATTAAACTTACAATAAGCATATCTTTGAAATAAATTTCAGACAACACAACACGCTTTTAAAATGAAAATTAACGGTTTCTATTAATTAATGCGGCACGAGGAGGATTATCGATTTTGAATATTCATGATTTAGATGTATGGTATATGCAAACAGTATTTACAACATAAAATATTCTAAGAAAGTGTGAGTTTGTCAGTCGACTGCCTTATTTAATCCTATTTTTTGGAATATTTATATTTTAATATTTACTATTATATATATATATATATATATATATATATATATAAATACTTTTTACTTTTTTTAATCTTTATTTCCCTACACCTAAAAGGTGATTGTCAAAGGTATAATTTTTGTATTCTTTAAATGACGTGATCAAAATAGATCCTAGATTCTTCAGTACTACTGCCCCCAACCCTTTCCGAATGCCACCCAAAGTAGGCAACACAACCTATCTTCTACAGTCCTCATGAGCATGGCAAGCTTGAGACCAAAAACCCCCCCATTAAAAATGAGACAATTAATTTCTTATCTTATTTTGACTAAATTAAAAATGATATAATTGTTAACAGACTAGAGATTTCTCACTGCGTGACATATACATACCTAATGAGTTATGAACTACTAATCTTGTTTCGTCAATATGAAATGAAAATATATATCGGACTAGAGACTTCTTACTCCAACCCTTTTCTCCTGCACCATATCAAGAATTCTTTCTATACACCAACAAAATAAAAGATTGGGATTATTATAAAGCAGATTTCTCGTATGCTATGCTGCTAAAACCTGCTAAAAAGAGGATTAAAGTCCTGCTAAAAAGGGAATTAACTTGCTTTATCCTATTTTTTAAAAGCTAAATATTTTTAGCTTGATTTAAGAGTGGGTTGACAAGTTGACAATAACAATGTAACTTGTCACAGACTAATTTAAAATTTGCAAAGTGAATTGCCAATCTGCCTAAAATTAACAACAGAAAATAAAAATTAATAAAAACCTATAAAAATTATGAAACATATTTAATTAAATAATATTTTATATTAATAATACCTAATAATTAACTGATAAATATCTATATTTTAGTTTTGAAAGGAATAAAAAGTCTTAACCATGCGACGTTGTTAAATATTATATCGTATTTCCCTTTCTTGGTATTTGCTTTCATGGTATTCTCTTAGCTAATTATTAACCATACGTTCATACTTATTGTTTGGGCCAAAGATCAACAAACGGATTCTAATTTGCTAAATATTACAAGATGAATGGTAATCGGCGGTTTGCTGAAATGGGTATATATTAATATATACTTAAAGATATGAAATTGAAAAGAAAGACTAAAAGATATAGAACTTATAACATTGAGTCACTTCTAAGACAAAGGACTTTGATTTAACAACTTTAAAGCACAACACAATAAACTATGGTAGGAAGGAGGAATACGAGGGTTCCATAATTCCATCCATGCATGAGAACAAGAACAACACAATTATATTTATTATCTATGGACGTTTATTTATTAGTGATATCATTGGCATTATGCATGCATCAATGGTAGACGACGTCCTTGAATTCAAAACAAACGAACGTACACACAAACACAGTGTTCTTAATTGCAACTGAAATTGTTGGGCATCTCTCCTCCACAGCTGTTGACGTAAAGTTCCAAGAAAAGGCTAATAGGTATACCCAAGACTTGGAGTCGGGCGCAAATACACGCATAGGCACTAAGATCAAGAAGACCCGCAATGACGGTGCAACATTGATCAGTTGATGAATTCCCGAGAAGTCCACCCAAAAGATTGATGCAAACATCCACCGAGGAACAATCGGTTGGTGACGGTGGGACGGAGACAGGAGGAGGTGGAGGTGGACGTGAAGGAGTAGGGTTAGTGGCAATGGAACTAACCATGGAGAAGAAAAGGAGGTTAATGGAGATGAGAAGGGCAATGGATGTTGCAGCCTTGGAACCCATTTTCTTTTTGATGCTTAGTTTCTTAATAACTTAACTTCTCTCGTTAATTGCTTGTGTTTCATCGATGATCTTTGCCTCATTATTTATAGGCCAAGGATTTGTGGGATCTCTCTCTCTTTATGCTTATCCGAATTGATTTTCTTAGATTAAATTAATGAAGGTTGAATCTTTAGGCACATATACGTACGTAGCTAATGAGACCTTGTGACTTTTAATATCCACTGCATGTTTGAATGAATTCAGTTTCGCATCGAGCATATAAATCTAGGTCTATTTTACCAGTTCTAGTCAGTTTTTAATTAGTATATTTTAATTAAAAAGTTATTATTTTCAATTATAATATTTATATGACTATGGTGTTAAACATATTTATTCATCAACTTCACAAATGTTCTTTTTTCAAGGTTTTGCACTTGATTTTTCTAGTTAAATAAACATTTTTAAGTATTTAAGCTGACCTTTTTAATAAATTAATGAATTAGACCAAATGAAACCTTAAGCAAGTTAGATCGATCTAAAGCTCCTAATAAAGTGCTTATATTTTCATTCATACGGCAGTTGAAAAATAACTTTTAAATTTTTTTCATGCTAGCTATAAGTAGCCGCCCTAATTAAATAAAATAAAATAAAATTAAATGTTTGATAGACTCTGGAGGAGTTTCCCCTTCTGGTAAGAAAGCAAACAGGAACCATAAAATAGAAAAAGAAATGAAACCATGGAGATTTCAATTATCCTTTACATTAATGAAAACATTTATTTTAAAATATATTTTTTTAAATCTTCATATTTTGATACATACTATTTAAATATTTAAACAGTTATAGAGTTCAGCCAAAATTAAAAAAAATATTTAAAATAATTTCATTCTGTATAATTATCTAAACAAATTTAAAAGATTATTATTTTTATTTATTTTATATATATCTATATATACGTGCGCGAGCGGACGCACACAAATAAATTCAACGTTCTTGCAAAATTCAACGTGATTCCTGTCAATTGAGTGAAGTAAAAGAAATTGTTATTTAATTTAATTTTATAATTTTTATAACTTTAAATTTCTTGTAATATTTATATTATAAATAAAAATATACTGTTTGAAGAATAAAGTATTCAACGGAGTTATTTTCTTTCATAGAGTATTATAAATGAAAATATATTCTTAAAATATTAAATAAAGTTATTTTTTTATAATTAGTTACATGTATAATTTAAAATTGACTAAGAATAATATATACATTACATACTCTTTTACTGTAATAATTTTAATTTTTACATATATATTTTTTAATTTTGTTTTAAATTTTGAATATAAAAGTTTATTATATGTCTTTTTTTTTATTAACTTATATAAACTTTCAAAAAATTTTAAATACATATATTTACGCTTATAATTTTTTATTATATTATATATATTTTTAAATTTTTTATAAATATACTTATATTTATATTTTTTTGTATTTTATATAAAGTTTTAAATTAACTGTGAATACTTGCGTTTACTTTAATCTAAGTGAAAATTTTAAGTGACTATTCATCCTTAGTTTCAATATAAAAATATATTTTCTATTAGAAATTGAAAATTTTATTAATTTTTTTTTTACATTTCTCAAAGTTTACATTATTAATTACACACTTTTTTACTGTAATAATTTAATTTTTACACGCATTCTTGTTAATTTTATTTTAAATTTTAAATATAAAAGTTTATTATATAAATCTTTTTATTAACTTATATAAATTTTTAAATTTTTTGTATATATATATATATATATATTTCTATTTATAATTTTTTATTATCTTATATATATTTTTAAATTTCTTATAAATATACCTATGGTTATATTTATATTTTTTAATATCTTAAATAAAATTTCAAATTTACTGCAAATACTCATGTCTCATGTTTATATTTATCAATTTTGTAATACTAAATCTATTATTTGCATTATTCTAAGTGAAAATTTCAATTAACTACTCATCTTTAGTTTCGTATAAAAATATATTTTTTTATTAAAAATTGAAAATTTTATTAATTTCATATTTTTTTAAACAAATACACATACAAAAATATTATAATTTCTTAAATATAAGTTAAATGAGAGATTCAGATTAAGTGTAAGAATATTTAGACTTACACTAGTGTAAGAATATCCAGCTATATATATATATATATATATATATATATATATTTTCATTGATTGTATTTAAGCACATAATCTTAATATTTTTTATTTGAAGTTTAATTATAAGAGTCTTATAGTTTAAATTTAGTTATTAATATATATATATATATATATATATATATATATATATATTACTTGTTATATTAATTATTTGTTTATAATGTATGATAAAAATATTAAAAAAATTTAAAATAAAATAAATATTAAATTTCAAAAATTTCCTCTGTTGTGAAGAAAACTTAAGATATATTCTCCTTTTTGATATTACATAGGTTCCACAAATTAGTACAATTTATAACTTATACACAACTCATACCATAACTTGTGCATGAACACATTCATGCTTAAACTTAAGTCGCACAAAACTAGCACAACACAATAAACTTGTAATTTGTATATGAGTTGCACTATTATATAATGGCTTATGCATGGGCTTAACTGCGCTTAAACATATGACTTGTAATTTCTACATAAGTTACATCACACTGCAATGACTTGTGCATTAATACGATTGTGTTTATGGTTAATACAATTGTGCTAATCACTAAACATCACAAAAATTGGGGTGTGTTTATGATATATGTTAAAACGAATGTGTTTATTTCATTACGCTAGAAATGAGTTTTTGAAGCGCTAACTTAGATAACGGTTAATAAAAATTGCTTTGTAATTATATATTTAGAGAGCAATTCTCTATTAACCGCTCTCTAAAGTCACACATTAGAGAACGGTTAATAAAGAACCACTCTCTAATGTTATTAAAGTCATTTATAAATGAACACGTTCAACGTATTTCTTCTTCATAGCTAACAAAGTTAGTCTTTTTCACTGTAAGTTTCTTCTCTACTTTCTTATGTTTTCTTCATCTTCTTTGTTAGTCTGCTCTCTTCATCTTCTCTTGTTAACAAATTAGGTTTTTTTTTTTTTTTTCCATATGTAAGTACCTTTTTATTTTGTGTTAGTCTGCTCTCTTCATTTTCTTTACGCTAACAAATTAGTTTTTTTTTCACATCTGTATGTATTTCTTTATTCTCTCTTTCTTTCTTTTTCTCTTTATTAATGTTAAAAATTATCCTATTAATTTGTTCTCTTTTTTCTTTGTTTACTTGTGTTTCGTTCATGCAGATGTGGACTGCTTGGTTAACACCAAATATATAAACTCAAGATTCAATTTTGATTTGTGATAAAAATGAAGAAAACTCACAAAGAAATTAATTCTAAATTTTGATTTAAACATAATAATAAATTTTTATTTTGTAACAGAAAACTCACAAAGAAATCAATTTCAAATTTTGCGGTTTAAATTTATACTTTGGAGAGCAGTTCTACGTGGAACCGCTCTCAAATGTTACACCTATACTTTGGAGAGTGGTTCCAGTCCGCCTGGAACCGCTCTCTAATCTTAACATCTGATAACAGTTCTTTAACCGCTCTCTTAAATATAATACATCAGATAGCGTAAGATTTTAGAGCAGTTTTAAACGCTTTCTAATTCAAAACGGAACCGCTCTCAGATCTCCATTTTGGCGTAGTGTTTTAACATGATACATGTTTAAGTTTTTTTTATTTTATTTTTTTACTCTTAAACTTTGAAAATGTATAGTTTATTGCACAAAACTTTGATTTATGTAAATTATATGTATGTAAATTATATGCATAATTTATATAAATTTTTGAAATATATTCACCTAAACATCTATAGAGGGTTTGGACCTAAATTTTTTTTAAAATTCTATGCTTTGTCCATTTTTTTCTTTTTTTTAGTGATTTTTATGTTTGTATGATTCATCATTCCTGTAAGATATATCACCCATCTTTTTGTTATTTATTAATTTTATATTGTATGATAATTGTTAAAGCATGTTGTTTGAAATTATGAGAATTTCAGGTGTGTGAGTTACAGGATTTCTCACTGTAGTGAGATGTGTCTTGCTGTAGCAAGAAAAGTCATCCAAAAGGCTCGTTGAAGCTTTCTTGCTATAGCAAAAAGTGGATAAAGATGACCCAACAACATTTTCGCTGTAGCGAGAATTCTCTCGTTGCAGTGAGTCTCGCTACAGTGAGGAGCTTTCGCTGCAGCAATGAGTTCTCACTGTAGCTAAAATGACAGATAATAAGGAGGAAAAAAATGTCTGGTTTTTATGCAGCAATGAGAGAATGGCTCGTTGTAGCGAGAGTATCACGAGTTAAGGGGTATTTAAGAGTTTTTAAGTTAAGAAACTTGGATTATAATCTATGTTACGACTCACTCTCAGCTCCTCTTACTTCTCTCCTCCTTTTTCTCAAAAAACCTTTGATAAACTTTAATCTTTCTCTTATCCAAACTTGAGAGTTTACTCTCCTTGCTATTTGGAAGAATCTAGCTTTTTAAGCAAGATCTCTCACAAACCCTTTTCTAAACTTTCATTTTAAGGTAAAGAGAGCTCCGTCTCATTGCTAAAAACTTGTGTTTATACTCATGAAAATGTCGTGTGATGCATGATTGTGCATATATGTTGGATTGAAACATGTTTTTATGTGTTTGATGGTGTGAATGACCTCTATTTTGAGTATGTATGTATGTATGTATGTATGTATATTGTGGACTGAGTCTGGGGTTAACCAACCTTCAGCAATGATATATGAAAATGAACTTGAATAAAATAGAAAAATTAAAAAATGAACAAAATATTAATATGGAAATGCCAAGTTAGCTTTGATGAGAGATATGAAAAGAAAAGTAAAATGAGAAAGGAAATGATAAGGGCAAGTGTGAATAGTTCAGAGATACACTTGGAGTGTGGAAGATGGAGACGATTTGAGAAATTTCAGAG